AATCAGGGAAACCGGCAGGCCGGACTTGAGTCCTGGAGATGGGAAGTACAGTGCCTGCACTCTGAAGGAGGGGTGTTAATGTTGCAGTTTAAAAACTGTAGTGTAAAGCACCCTTCTGGCAAGACAGTGATGGAGTGAATGATGGTGAAAGTTTTTCTTTTTCGGGCCACCCTGCCTTGGTGGGAATCGGCCAGTGTGATAATAAAAAAATAATAAAATAATTTTGTTCCTTGGGACATGAATTTTTTTATTTCTTCAACAAACCGGCCATCTCTCACTGAGGCAGGGTGACCCAAAAAAGAAACACTTTCACCATCATTCACTCCATCACTGTCTTGCCAGAGGGGCACCAATACTACTGTTCAAAACTGCAAATATCCCCATCCCTCCTTCAGAGTGCAGGCACTATAGTTCCCACCACCATGACTCAAGTCCAACTAACCAGTTTCCCTGAATCCCTATATACATATTACCTTGCTCACACTTCAACAGCACATCAAGTCATGAAAAACCACTTGCCTCCATGCACTCGTGTCGAACACACACTTTCATCACCTTGTTCTTTCCAATGTTCACCTTTAATTTCCTTCTTTTACATTTTTTTTTTTTTATCACACTGGCCGATTCCCACCAAGGCAGGGTGGCCCGAAAAAAAAAAAACTTTCACCATCATTCACTCCATCACTGTCTTGCCAGAAGGGTGCTTTACACTACAGTTTTTAAACTGCAACATTAACACCCCTCCTTCAGAGTGCAGGCACTGTACTTCCCATCTCCAGGACTCAAGTCCGGCCTGCCGGTTTCCCTGAACCCCTTCATAAATGTTACTTTGCTCACACTCCAACAGCACGTCAAGTATTAAAAACCATTTGTCTCCATTCACTCCTATCAAACACGCTCACGCATGCCTGCTGGAAGTCCAAGCCCCTTGCACACAAAACCTCCTTTACCCCCTCTCTCCAACCTTTCCTAGGCCGACCCCTACCCCGCCTTCCTTCCACTACAGACTGATACACTCTTGAAGTCATTCTGTTTCGCTCCATTCTCTCTACATGTCCGAACCACCTCAACAAACCCTTCCTCAGCCCTCTGGACAACAGTTTTGGTAATCCCGCACCTCCTCCTAACTTCCAAACTACGAATTCTCTGCATTATATTCACACCACACATTGCCCTCAGACATGACATCTCCACTGCCTCCAGCCTTCTCCTCGCTGCAACATTCATCACCCATGCTTCACACCCATATAAGAGCGTTGGTAAAACTATACTCTCATACATTCCCCTCTTTGCCTCCAAGGACAAAGTTCTTTGTCTCCACAGACTCCTAAGTGCACCATCACTCTTTTCCCCTCATCAATTCTATGATTCACCTCATCTTTCATAGACCCATCTGCTGACACATCCACTCCCAAATATCTAAATACATTCACCTCCTCATACTCTCTCCTCCAATCTGATATTCAATCTTTCATCACCTAATCTTTTTGTTATCCTCATAACCTTACTCTTTCCTGTATTCACCTTTAATTTTCTTCTTTTGCACACCCTACAAATTCATCCACCAATCTCTGCAACTTCTCTTCAGAATCTCCCAAGAGCACAGTGTCATCAGCAAAGAGCAGCTGTGACAACTCCCACTTTGTGTGTGATTCTTTATCTTTTAACTCACGCCTCTTGCCAAGACCCTCGCATTTACTTCTCTTTCAACCCCATCTTACATATATTAAACAACCACGGTGGACATCACACATCCTTGTCTAAGGCCTACTTTTACTGGGAAAAAAATTTCCCTCTTTCCTACATACTCTAACTTGAGCCTCACTGTCCTCGTTTAAAAACTCTTCACTGCTTTCAGTAACCTACCTCCTACACCATACACTTGCAACATCTGCCACATTGCCCCCTATCCACCCTGTCATACACCTTTTCCAAATCCATAAATGCCACAAGACCTCTTTAGCCTTATCTAAATACTGTTCACTTATATGTTTCATGTAAAACACCTGGTCCACACCCCCCCTTACCTTTCCTAAAGCCTCCTTGTTCATCTGCTATCCTATTCTCCGTCTTACTCTTAATTCTTTCAATAATAAACTCTCCCATCCCACTTTACCAGGTATACTCAGCAGACTTATCCCCTATAATTTTTGCACTCTCTTTTATCCCCTTTGCCTTTATACAAAAGGAACTTGCATGCTCTCTGGCCAATCCCTAGGTACCTTACCCTCTTCCATACATTTATTAAATAATTGCACCAACCACTCCAAAACTATATCCCACCTGCTTTTAACATTTCTATCTTTATCCCTTTCACCCCCGGCTGCTTACCCCTTTCATTTTTACCTACGCCTCACGAACTTCCCCCACACTCACAACTGGCTCTTCCTCACTCCTAAAGATGTTATTCCTCCTTGTCCTATACACGAAATCACAGCTTCCCTATCTTCATCAACATTTAACAAATTTCCCCAAAATATTCCCTCCATCTTCCCAATACCCCTAACTCTCCATTTAATAACTTCCTCTCCTATTTTTTTAAAAAGACAAATCCATTTGTTCTCTAGGCTTTCTTAACTTGTTAATTCACTCCAAAACTTTTTTTTTTTTCAACAAAATTTGGGTTGATAACATCTCACCCACTCTCTCATTTGCTCTCTTTTTACATTGCTTCACCACTCTCTTAACCTCTCTCTTTTTCTCCATATACTCTTCCCTCCTTGCATCACTTCTACTTTGTAAAAACTTCTCATATGCTAACTTTTTCTCCCTTACTACTCTCTTTACATCATCATTCCACCAATCGCTCCTCTTCCCTCCCGCACCCACTTTCCTGTAACCACAAACTTCTGCTGAACACTCTAACACTACATTTTTAAACCTACCCCATACCTCTTCGACCCCATTGCTTATGCTCTCATTAGCCCATCTATCCTCCAATAGCTGTTTATATCTTACCCTAACTGCCTCCTCTTTTAGTTTATAAACCTTCACCTCTCTCTTCCCTGATACTTCTATTCTCCTTGTATCCCATCTACCTTTTACTCTCAGTGTAGCTACAACTAGAAAGTGATCTGATATATCTGTGGCCCCTCTATAAACATGTACATCCTGAAGTCTACTCAACAGTCTTTTATCTACCAATACATAATCCAACGAACCACTGTCATTTCGCCCTACATCATATCTTGTATACTTATTTATCCTCTTTTTCTTAAAATATGTATTACCTATAACTAAACCCCTTTCTATAGAAAGTTCAATCAAAGGGCTCCCATTATCATTTACACCTGGCACCCCAAACTTACCTACCACACCCTCTCTAAAAGTTTCTCCTACTTTAGCATTCAGGTCCCTACCACAATTACTCTCTCACTTGGTTCAAAGGCTCCTATACATTCACTTAACATCTCCCAAAATCTCTCTCTCTCCTCTGCATTCCTCTCTTCTCCAGGTGCATACACGCTTATTATGACCCACTTCTCGCATCCAACCTTTACTTTAATCCACATAATTCTTGAATTTACACATTCATATTCTCTTTTCTCCTTCCATAACAGATCATTCAACATTACTGCTACCCCTTCCTTTGCTCTAACTCTCTCAGATACTCCAGATTTAATCCCATTTATTTCCCCCCACTGAAACTCCCCTACCCCCTTCAGCTTTGTTTCACTTAGGGCCAGGACATCCAACTTCTTTTCATTCATAACATCAGCAATCATCTGTTTTTTGTCATCCGCACTACATCCACGCACATTTAAGCATCCCAGTTTTATAAAGTTTTTCTTCTTCTTTTTTTTAGTAAATGTCTACAGGAGAAGGGGTTACTAGCCCATTGCTCCCGGCATTTTAGTCGCCTCATACGACACGCATGGCTTACGGAGGAAAGATTCTTTTCCACTTCCCCATGGACAATAGAAGAAATAAAGAAGAACAAGAGCTATTTAGAAAAAGGAGAAAAACCTAGATGTATGTATATATATATATATATATATATATGCATGTGCGTGTCTGTGAAGTGTGACCAAAGTGTAAGTAGGAGTAGCAAGATATCCCTGTTATCTAGCTTGTTTACATATCCTCCAAAATTTGTCCACCAACTTAGGCAACTTCTCTTCAGAATCTCCCAAAAGTACAGTATCATCAGCAAAAGCAACTGTGGCAACTCCCATTTTGTGTTAAATTCTTTACCTTGCAATCCCACACCTTTCCTCAACACTCCTACATTCACATATATTCATGCATTGGTAATGTACTTAGCTGTTACAGTCTGTGGAAGTCCTTCTCCATACAAAAGCAGTGTTTTACACATCTCGACACAAAACATGTTTATACTTTGCTTGGTTAACCCATTCTCTCATATGTAGGCTTACTAGGAGTCTCCCGTTAAATTTAAAGTCGCTATAATTTAGCCATAAATCTACATAGGGACCCTGGCATCAATGACATAGTTCTACATGAGGGCCACTGAAAGGGTTAGTGGTTATGGTCAAACCAAAGGTTAGAAGTTTCAGTCTCCTATGTGTGGGTTATTTGTGTACTGTTCCAATCATGGTATTGGTGTGGGTGTCTCACTCTGCTGGGGCTTGATGATGGGGTCCATCTGGTCTCTTTGGGAACTTCTGATGTCCATTTCTATTTGCAAAGGGACTCCTGTGTTTTTTTTTTTTTTTTTTTTTTTTTTTTTATTGCCCAGCTTTAGTCAATATCTCTTCTCCGTACATCAGAAAACAGGGCTCAGTATGGCGTAAATTGTTAATGGCCTATACAAACCCAGCAAGTAGTCATGGCATTGTGCCTTTTTATTTACTGTACTGTACTAATTTTAGTTCATCCAAAAATGCTTTGCATAATTAGGGGCTTTCCTTAGAATGTGCAAAAGGATGTTATCCCAGAGCTGAATCAACACCTTGTACTTCTAGGAAATAAAATTTTACTTTGACTCTCACTTTATTATAAATCTTATTAATGATTTGTTCTTTTACTTTTAAATTCAGCATTGGTTTGAACTGTGCACTTGGAGCGAGAGATATGAGACCCTTTATTGAAAATATCAGCCAGAATACAACATCTTTTGTGATATGCTATCCCAATGCAGGCCTTCCCAACACTTTTGGAGATTACGATGAGACTCCAGAGACGACAGCTGACCATATTAAAGAATTTGCCAAAGATGGATTAGTGAATGTAGTGGGAGGCTGCTGTGGAACTACCCCGGATCACATTAGGTAATTTCCTTGCTAGTACACTATATACATTATGAAAATGGACTGGTGGAGGTACTGTATGCTGATAATCTTGTTTGATAAACAGGTGATGGATGTATAATCTGTACTGTGGTTGCAAGCTTGTGTGGTATCACTTTTAAAATGTACATTGGGCAACAATGGGTCTATATTGAAGATAATTTGTAAGCAAAGGATTAATTTTTAGTGTATAATTACTTGAATATTTTGAGGTTGGGATGTTATTTTTTGTGTGTGCAATAGTACGTATTTTATAGACAAGTCTTGATGAGATAGAAAAATATCATTGTTATTCAAATGGTATTTCTCTAAGATAATAGGTTTTCAGATCTCATGAGCTTGTTTGAGATTCGTATTTATGTATCTGAAGAAGTTGCTTCCTCATTTCAGGGCTATAAAACAAGCTGTTGCAAATGTTAAACCTCGTTCTCCTCCGTTAGTTTTGTATGAAGGTGCACAGGTTCTTTGTGGCCTTGAACCAATGAGAATCACAAATCAAACCAACTTTGTTAATATCGGTAAGTAATACAGAATTAGCTATGGCATCCTTAGTATTTGCATCTTAATTTTATTGTTACATTAAGTGTCACCCTGCTTCGGTGGGAGACAGCCGACTTGTTAAAAAAAAAAAAAATGTGTCATTGCTCATTGTTTCCTCTTATACCACAATCAACGCTTCTGAAAACATCAATATTGACTTGTCTCAACCTAACTTGAATAAATTGACAGAGATTTATTTGATACTGTTGGGATTTTTGTGAATTCTATTCAGTAAAGAAAGAAGCATTTTCACCATTCAGAATCTGAATGATGTGTGAATGATGGTGAAGTGACAACTGAACTGTCATATCTGAGCTTCTCTTTGCAGAAACACTCAGATACGACAGTTTAGATGTCACTCCAAACTGCCAGTTGGAGTGTAAGCAAGGTAACATTTATGAAGGGATTCAGGGAAACTGGCAGGCCAGATTTGATTCCTGGAGATGGGAAGTACAGTGCTGGCAGTCTGACAGAGGGGTGTTAATGTTGCAGTTTTATAACTGTAGTGTAAGCATCCCTCTAGCAAGACAGTGATGGAATGAATGATGATGAAAGTTTTTTTTTTTCAGGCTACCCTGCCTTGGTGGGAAATAACCGATGTATCAATAAAAAAAAAATCTTAGGGTGGATCATGAATTAAAAATACTATTGTATGAGCTAACTAATTGCAGAAATAAAAAGCTGTTTAAATTACAAGATGGCAACATCGTATTCATTTGTTGTTAAATGTTATAGACAGACAAATGTGCTAATGTTTTCTTCTACTTATCTAAAGGTGAGAGGTGCAATGTTGCTGGCTCCCGTCTGTTTTGCCGATTGATCAAGACTGGGAAGTATGAAGAGGCCTTGGACATTGCTAAAACTCAAGTAAATATATTTCACTTGACTTGAGATTTTTGTATTTTGATCTTTAGTTTACCCAGGTATTGTTAAATAATTTCACTTGCCATATTGTTTTTAATTTAACCCTTTCACTGTCCTGACCCCTCAAAATTAACACAGTGGTACCTCGAATTTCGAACAGCTCCCAACTCAAACAATTATGTAAGTGTATTTTTGTAAGTGTATTATTGGAGGTCTGAAATGGACTAATCTAATTTACATTATTCCTTATGGGAACATATTCGTTCAGTAATGGTGCTTGAACAGCCTTCTGGAACAAATTAAGGACAATATTTGGGATTAAATTTTGGGGAATCAAATTCAAAATGGGAATTGACACAGTTACTTTTTGCTGATGATACTGTGCTTATGGGAGATTCTAAAGAAAAATTGCAAAGGTTAGTGGATGAGTTTGGGAATGTGTGTAAAGGTAGAAAGTTGAAAGTGAACATAGAAAAGAGTAAGGTGATGAGGGTGTCAAATGATTTAGATAAAGAAAAATTGGATATCAAATTGGGGAGGAGGAGTATGGAAGAAGTGAATGTTTTCAGATACTTGGGAGTTGACGTGTCGGCGGATGGATTTATGAAGGATGAGGTTAATCATAGAATTGATGAGGGGAAAAAAGGTGAGTGGTGCATTGAGGTATATGTGGAGTCAAAAAACGTTATCTATGGAGGCAAAGAAGGGAATGTATGAAAGTATAGTAGTACCAACACTCTTATATGGGTGTGAAGCTTGGGTGGTAAATGCAGCAGCGAGGAGACGGTTGGAGGCAGTGGAGATGTCCTGTTTAAGGGCAATGTGTGGTGTAAATATTATGCAGAAAATTCGGAGTGTGGAAATTAGGAGGTGTGGAGTTAATAAAAGTATTAGTCAGAGGGCAGAAGAGGGGTTGTTGAGGTGGTTTGGTCATTTAGAGAGAATGGATCAAAGTAGAATGACATGGAAAGCATATAAATCTATAGGGGAAGGAAGGCGGGGTAGGGGTCGTCCTCGAAAGGGTTGGAGAGAGGGGGTAAAGGAGGTTTTGTGGGCAAGGGGCTTGGACTTCCAGCAAGCGTGCGTGAGCGTGTTAGATAGGAGTGAATGGAGACGAATGGTACTTGGGACCTGACGATCTGTTGGAGTGTGAGCAGGGTAATATTTAGTGAAGGGATTCAGGGAAACCGGTTATTTTCATATAGTCGGACTTGAGTCCTGGAAATGGGAAGTACAATGCCTGCACTTTAAAGGAGGGGTTTGGGATATTGGCAGTTTGGAGGGATATGTTGTGTATCTTTATATGTGTATGCTTCTAGACTGTTGTATTCTGAGCACCTCTGCAAAAACAGTGATAATGTGCGAGTGTGGTGAAAGTGTTGAATGATGATGAAAGTATTTTCTTTTTGGGGATTTTCTTTCTTTTTTGGGTCACCCTGCCTTGGTGGGAGATGGCCGACTTGTTGAAAAAAAAAAAAAAAAAAATTGGGGTACCACTGTATTGCTCTCAAGTGTCCACTTGTAAAAATAAAATTCTTCTGAAATGGTAGACAATCTTTTTTCAGAAGGCAATGACACCATAAGTACAAAATTTAATGGAAAACTTGTCAAATTACATGTGCCCTAAGTTAAGTGATTTTGGCACAATTTACGCATCAGCGATTTTGCCCACTGACTTATATTGTAAGCTAATTCCATTGCTCCATTCAACCAAATTATTAGCTATTTCCCTAATATACTTTAAATTCTGTCAGAAGAGCACAAGAAACTGCCCATTACACTATTTCAATGCACAGAAGTCAGTAATTTGGCCAATTTTATACTAATAAAAAATGTCAATATAAAAATAGCATCCAAAATAAACAGTGTACACATTCCTGGCACTAAAACATTTCCTCTGTTTATTAATCAAGTCCCTAGGTCTCTCCTATATTATACCTGCTTTCTATTTTAAAATCTTAATCGCACAAAAATAGAAGAGTTACTCTATTTCTCAGATAATAAAATATAACCAGGAATGATTGGTCATGGTTTACAGCGTTCAAATAATTGAATCTGATCTATTAAAAACCCATAAAACAGATATCGCATTGGAGAGAAGGAGTATGGAAAAAGTGAATGCTTTCAGATATTTGGGAGTTGATGTGTCAGCGGATGGGTTTATGAAGGATGAGGTTAACCATAGAATTGATGAGGGAAAAAAGGTGAGTGGTGCATTGAGGTATATGTGGAGACAAAAAACCTTATCAGTGGAGGCAAAGAAGGGAATGTATGAAAGTGTAGTGGTACCAACACTCTTATATGGGTGTGAAGCTTGGGTTGTAAATGCTGCAACGAGGAGGCGGTTGGAGGCAGTGGAGATGTCCTGTCTAAGGGTAATGTGTGGTTTAAATATTATGCAGAGAATTCGAAGTGTGGAAATTAGGAGGTGTGGAGTTAATAAAAGTACATGTTAGTCAGAGGGCTGAAGAGGGGTTGTTGAGGTGGTTTGGTCATTTAGAGAGAATGGATCAAAGTAGAATGACATAGAGAGCATATAAACCTCAAGGGTAAGTAAGGCGGGGTAGGGGTCATCCTCGAAAAGGTTGGAGGGAGGGGGTAAAGGAGGTTTTGTGGGCCAGGGACTTGGACTTCCAGCAAGTGTGCATGAGCATGTTAGATAGGAGTGAATGGAGACGAATGGGTTTTGGGACCTGACGAGCTGTTGGAGCGTGAGCAGGGTAATATTTAGTGAAGGGATTCAGGGAAACCGGTTATTTTTATATAGCTGGACTTGAGTTCTGGAAATGGGAAGTACAATGCCTGCACTTTAAAGGAGGGGTTTGAGATATTGGCAGTTTGGAGGGGTGTGTAATAGGAAGGTATATATATAATTGGGGCCCTGATATTATATTCTATAGGGAGTTTATTATATTATTTCAGGTCACTTTTTATATTGTATCTTTATATATGCTTCTAAATTGTTGTATCTGGGCACCTCTGCAAAAACATTGATTATGTATGAGTGAGGTAAAAGTGTTGAATGATGAAAGTATTTTCTTTCTTTTTTGGGCCACTCTGCCTGGGTTGGAGACGGCCAACTTGTTGAAAAAAAAAAAACAGATGGAAACCTTATCCATCCTCAGAAAAATCAACAAAAATCTAATGTTTCAGCCACTTTGAGGTCAATTTCAAGCTACTTCTGGTCCCAAAGCCAACCAAAATCATGTCTATTTCAGTAGTGTGTTTTCGATTATATCGGATAATACCAAGATAGTCAATAAAACCATAAAAACCCTCTGAGAAAACACCTCAAAGTTGCTGTTTCAATCCATACACAAGATCAGAGTTTTTTTTTTTTTTACTGAGCACACTTGCAGCACACTCATTCTCTCATATATAGGGCAAAATTTATTACTCATGGCTTATCTGAGTGAGCTGAGCTCATGACGTAGAACTACACACGAAGGACCCTGGCCTCAGTGATGCACTGAAAAGGACCTGAAAAGGCCTGTTTAGACACACTAATTTTTTTTTTTAGATCCTTAGGTCAAAGCAGTATAATAAGATAAGTTACCCTAATTTACATTAAGTGAAAAACATATATTATAATTCTTTTAAAAGGTTGAAAATGGTGCTCAGATCCTTGATGTAAATATGGATGAAGGTTTACTTGATGGCAAAGCAGCAATGACACGCTTCCTCAACCTAATAACAACAGAGCCAGATATATGTAAAGTAAGTATATATACAGTATTCACAGTAAATTAATTGTATTTGAATACAGGGCACCTAGGATTAAAAAAATTAATGATGGTTTTGGGAGAATGTCACTCAGAATTTGTGTACATTATTATAAATGATAGGTTTTAGCTAATTTTAAATGTTTCCTCTTCAGCAATCATAATGTGGTACAGGTCGGCCATCACTAATCCGGCAATCAGTTACATGTATCCGGTTCCATCAGTAATACGGCACTAATTTCAGCTAGCATAATTTCAAATTTCATCATTATAATTACTCAGAAATTGTGCAGATGGTTGTAATTCCACAACAGCAAGCCAGTGGAGGAGAAAGCAGTGATGAAAATAAGGAAGATGAAGCAGAAAGACACTCTATTGATAGGTTAATTTAAGTGTAATCTAACCTAACCACTCTGTAATCCGGCAAACTCACTAATCCGGCATGCTACAGGTCCCAATGATGCCAGATTAGTGATGGCCGACCTGTATTTCATCTTTAGTATTTTAGGCTCTAGCATCTGCTAGTTATTTTATTGACATCCTGAAATTGTGGTGTTTTGTCCTTCACGTTTATTAGGAATTTTATAGGAGTTAATATAGAACTTGGTGTGATCTTGCTCATTTTCTTCTTCCCTCCTTATACATTTGTGTATTGTATTTTGGCTTATTTAACCCTTTCACTGTTCAGACCCCCAAAATTAAAATTGCTCTCAATGTCCAAATTTAAAAAAAAATCTTAGATTTTTCTGATGGTAATAAAACAAAAAGGAGAATTTTTCCATCAGTACTTTCTGAGAAGGAGAAGCGTGAATTTGAAGGTCTATCATCTGCTGACTGCAACATCAGCAATTGCCGAGTCCTCCATGCCTTGAATGTCAAGCAAGCCAGAGGCTTGCTTGACATTCAAGTTGACTACTTTTCTATGTATGTACTTATCATTTAACAAAAATTCTTATACTATGGCATATTTTTTGTAAATTTTATCCCTACACCTGGCTACAATAATATGCATAATAAGGATTTTGCAAAAACTTTTATTATCCCAGACTTACACCCCTAGTTAAGCTTTAACCCTTTCAGGGTCAAGACCCCTGATCTAAAACTTGTTCTCAGGGTACAAGAATGTTCAGTGTTTTTTTTTTTTTTTTTTTTTTTTTTTTTTTTTTTTTTTGCAGAATAGTATAGAATCTCTTTCTGAAAGTAATGGAACCAAAAGGTGTGAAATGTGGTGGAAATCTTATGGAATTACACTCTTGCAAGTTAGTAGTCTCAGCAATATTTATGCATCTGTGATTTCACCCAATTTGAGCCCTATTTTCAGTCATTCCATTGTTCCAGTCAGCCAAACTCATAGCTATTTCACCAGTATTCTTTCTATTCTATTGATTGAGTATATTTGTATATTTCAAGTACCCAATAAAGTGATTAGAAATCAGTAGTTTGGCCAATTTCACCCAAAAGTAAAAAATTGCCATTTTAAAAATAGGGTCCAGAATAAATAATGTAGACATTCCTGGCATTAAAAAAATTCCTCTCTTCATTAGTTATGTCCCCAGGTCTCTCTTATATTATGTTTTCCATTTTTAATTTTTATTCACAAAAAATAGAAGATTTACTGTCATGCAGACTATTGTATTAATGTAATAATTGTATAAATAATGTCAGTGCATTCACAAATGTGTACTGGCCATTTGGATGCGCATTGGACAGTTGATGTCATTTGTGTACTGGAATGTCAGTAAAAATTGAACACTTCTGCTACTTTGAGCTCAATTTCAAGCTACTTTCAGTTCTAAAACCAATCTGTAGTATATCTTCCATTCTATCAGATGAGACCATGAAAAAGAATACAACCATAAAAACTATACAAAAATACACTATAAAGTCTCTGTTTTAAACCAAAAACAAGGTTGCAGTTTTTTCCCCATTATGCACTGCTTGCTGCAGGATTTATTTTTATATGGTGCATGCTTACTGCATAGAGCCATTCTCTTACCTCTAGGCCCAAATTTACCATTCACAGTTTATCAGAGTGAGCTGAGCTCATGGCGTAGAACTACGAGACCAACCCTGGCTTCAAAGCCATAGTACCATGGGACTGATCTCAAAAGGGTTAATAATAAAAAAAATTAAACACATTGTCCATATCTCACTTAGGCAGGGTGACCCAACAAAAAAGGAACACATTTACTCATTTATTACTGTCATTCTCAACAGGTACCTATATGCATTGATTCATCCAACTTTGATGTGATTGAGGCTGGTCTTAAGGTGACACAGGGTAAAAGCATTGTCAACTCCATTTCACTGAAGGAGGGAGAAGAAGAGTTCGTCCGAAAAGCCAAATTAATAAAAAAATACGGGTCTGCAGTAGTTATCATGGCTTTTGATGAAATTGGGCAGGTGAGCCAAGCTATTGTGAGAACTAGATTGAATTGCTTCAATAAATATTGACATTACATTAGTCCTATTTGTGAGTTACTGTTGCTGATATGAATTTGTGGATTGATTTATTTATGTTATAGTAGACTGTTGATTATCATGGGTTCCTTTAACATGTTTTTCTCCATTACACTGTTGCAAAATTGTGGCCTATTTTTGACTAGCACAATGTCACTTCTGGGAAAAAAAATTTGGAGCACTGCATGCTGGACTGCAGGATTTTTCCCCTTCGTCTAGTGAGCTCGCAGGCTCCTGCCTTTGGGTCAGTCCACTGTGGTTGTGGGGAAGGCCTAGCTTCCTTCCCTGCCTCCCCATCCCACTTCTTATTGGTCTGTAGACGTGTCCCATACAATTCTCAGATCTGTGTTTGTGATTAAATTAGTTGAATCCTGTATGCCAGTCACTATATGCAATGTTTTCATATCAATAAGTCACTTTTTCTGACTTTCTTTTGGGTTATCATAGGTAATTTGCACTATGTATGATAATTGTACTTATGTGTACCTGTGCCTAAATTAACTTACTGTGTTCAAATGTAAACTTTCTGGAGACAGTGTTTATATACAAATTGAGAGAGTAGACATGAACTGTACCTATCCATTTGAGAGACCTTCTCAGTGTTTATATAATTTCTGCTTATCTTCCTTTGCATAATAAAGGTTAAAAGATGAAAGGAACCTGCAGGTAATGGTGTATGCAGTATCTACTTGATATATATTTGTGCATTAGTTTACTTGGTACAGTAATAAACAAAGTAAGACATCTGTGAGGGTGTGTTGTTGTTGTTGGGCATTAAGGGCTAACAGCCTCTGAACATGCCACCCACCCTCCCTTCCTTAACCCTTAAACTGTCCACACGTAGATATACGTTCATGTGTGGTGGGCTCCGAACGTAGATCAACGTTTTATTTTTCATTCCTTCAAATTTGGTGCTATAGGCCTGAGTTGCCTAGACATGAAAGAATGGGTCTGTGCACTCAAAGTGCACACTATGAAAAAAATTGGGGACCACTTAGTACCTTGTGGGAGCACCAGTTCAACTGAGCGCCAGCTAGAGCAAATAGCGTGGCAAACACCAGTGATTCACTGATGTTATGTCATATTAACACTCACATTTTTAAGAGGAAAGTAAAAATAGGTGAGATAAATGCACGAGTGGGTGTGGGTGGGTGTGAGTTGGTCCTGACTAGCTTGTGCTTCTGGGTCAGATGTCATGCTCCTTTCAGTGGACATGACCTGACTAGGTGGGTCATTGGTCTAAGCCGGAAGGTGACATGGACCTGCTTTGCATGGGCCAGTAGGCCTGCTGCAGCATTCCTTCTTTCTTATGTTCGTATGTATTCAGCTGGCTAGCTGGCTGGCTTTGGCTGTCTCTGTCTGTATCTATCTATATCTCTATCTGTCTTTATCACTGTCTATTTGTATCTCTGTCTATATCTCTGTCTCTCACATGTACTCATAAATACAGTTCTTTCTTTCAACACACCGGCCGTATCCCACCGTATCCAAAAGGAAAACGAAAGTTTCTCCTTTTACATTTAGTAATATATACAGGAGAAGAGGTTACTAGCCCCTTGCTCCCGGCATTTTAGTCGCCTCTTACAACACGCATGGCTTACGGAGGAAGAATTCTATTCCACTTTCCCATGGAGATAAGAGGAAATAAACAAGAATAAGAACTAGAAAGAAAATAGAAGAAAACGCAGAGGGATGTGTGTATATATATATGCTTGTACATGTATGTGTAGTGTGACCTAAGTGTAAGTAGAAGTAGCAAGACGTACCTGAAACCTTGTATATTTATGAGACAGAAAAATGGACACCAGCAATCCTACCATCATGTAAAACAATTACAGGCTTTCGTTTTACACTCAGTTGGCAGGACGGTAGTACCTCCCTGAGCGGTTGCTGTCTACCAACCTACTACCTTCAAATTGTTTGTAGATATAAGCCATAAATAAACATGACGCAAGTAACAGCAGTGTCACTTACTCAACAATCAGGAAGTGGCCCATACACCACAAACCAGCAGGTTTACTAGCCACTCCCTGAGACAGAGACAAGCAGATGGAAAGACAGACACACAGGCAGACAGACAGAGAAGCAGAGCTAGGCAGACAAACAGAAGTTTTACCCTAAAACTTCCATGAAAACTTCCAGGTTATGATCTTTTGGTCCATAAACAGTAGCGCTTAATTAGATATTTGCCTTAAAGCATCCATTCTCTTCATATAAAACTTGTTAAATTTTCAGCAAAATTATAATAATGTTTCATACATAATTAACATCCAGTACAATCACAAGACAGTTATTTTGTTTTTAATATTGAATAAAATTACTAGCAAATGAGAATAAAATTGGTATTTCATGTTTTGTGTGCATATTTTAAACACTTACTACTTGTAGGCTGTGGATGTGGAGAATAAAGTTAAGATTTGTCAGCGATCATACAAGATCCTAACTGAAATAATTGGATTCAATCCTAGTGATATTATCTTTGACCCCAACATCTTAACAATTGCTACTGGAATAGAAGAACATAACAACTATGGAATTTACTTTATTGAAGCAACAAAAATTATCAAGGTAAGTACTGAATCAGCCTTTATATTTTGTGTGCTGTACTGATTTGTACTGCATTGGAATGTGGATTTTTTTTTAGATATACTGAAATATCACCCTATGATATAACAGCTTAACATTAATTATTGAGGCTCATGTGACTTAAAACTTGGAGATTTTAGTATAAGATACTATGGTTATAGTTTTATGCAGTAAATGCATTCCAAACCCATGGTAGCTGTATTAAGCTCAGTCAGGCCATTTACACTGAATCCTACTTAATAAGAATCTTCGATGTGTGAGCCACACTGATTGCATACAGGAGATGTACATTATACATATGGAATTATAGATGAAAATGGGGCATCATATAATAAATTTGCATAAAGCAAATCCAGGTAAGGCAAGGAAAACATGTACTGTACCTGGAATCAGGAAGATGGCTATTAACATTTTTTAATTACTAATGTTTTGTGATTGGTTAATAAGTGATAACAAATATAAGAATGGATGGTCCCTTTTATATTAAATCTGTGAAAGAAAATTATTTTGTGGTATAAGTAATATATTGTAATTTTTTTATTTTCTCATAGGCTAGTTGTCCTGGGGTACGAGTAAGTGGTGGTGTAAGCAACTTATCCTTTTCTTTCCGTGGAAAAGAAGAAATTCGTGAAGCAATGCATTCAGTCTTCCTCTATCATGCTATCAAAGCTGGCATGGACATGGGTATTGTCAATGCAGGATGCCTTCCTGTGTTTGATGACATAGACCATGAACTTTTGCTTCTTTGTGAATCTCTTTTATGGAGTACTGATCCAGAGGGCACTGAAAAATTGTTAGCATATGCTGAAAAAACTTCTTCTCAAGTAAAAATTGGTGATATTGAAGATGAATGGCGAAGTAAGGATGTGGAAGAGAGACTGAAACATTCTTTAGTGAAAGGTATTGATAAATACATAGAGGAAGATGCTGAAGAAGCTCGTTCAAACAAAGAAAGATATCCAAGAGCATTAAATGTCATTGAAGGACCACTTATGAATGGAATGAGTGTCGTAGGAGAATTATTTGGTGCTGGAAAAATGTTTTTGCCACAAGTAATTAAGAGTGCACGTGTGATGAAAAAGGCTGTAGCATATCTCATTCCTCTCATGGAAATAGAACGTGCTGCAACTGTTAGTGAATTTGGGGAAGTGATGTCAGACACTGATAGATATAATGGTACAATTATTTTAGCCACAGTTAAAGGTGATGTTCATGATATTGGCAAAAACATTGTGGGAGTAGTCCTTGGATGTAACAACTACAGAGTCGTTGATCTAGGTGTTATGTGCCCTTGTGACAAAATATTGCAGTATGCCATTGCAGAGAAAGCTGATATCATTGGTCTCTCTGGACTAATCACTCCATCACTGGACGAGATGATCTTTGTTGCACGTGAAATGGAAAGATTAGGTCTACAGGTGAGACCTGTGTTTAGCTTATTGCTTCATGTTTATTTATTTAAGTATTCTTATGTGCTATAGTGCCCACAAATAGCCCCCAAAATAATGCTGGTTACAGTCCATCATTTGTAAATAACTTTTGTTGCCCCATTTGCTCTCACTTTATTACAAGAATTAGACCATGTGCAACATTTGTGTATCTTTATTTGAGGATGTTGTGCCAAGCAGTGTGTGTAAGTCTACAAGGCTGAGACACTGATTACCTCATCATTTACTGCTTCCAGTTTCAAAACCTTCAAATTACCTCTGTATTGAATATATAAAGCCATTGATTGGCAAAACGTCTTCAAATAAAGATACTCAGATGTTGCACGTGTCTAATTCCTTGTCTTGTTGGTATTGCGTGCCATTAATCTATGAAATTCTTTAATTCATTTTTGTGTATTAAACTAAAAAATAGGTTGGGGGCAACACACAACACTGGACAACAAAACACTACTTTTTATCTGCTTCTGAGGTTAAATATATATGCCCTTAATTAACTAATGTTTTCAGATTTCAAATTTAAAGTCAGAATTGTCCCAGCATATCAGGATTTTTTAGTTATAAAAAAAATTGGGTATTATTCATAATACAGTATCCAATGTACAGTTTACAAATATACTCTAATGTCATGGAAAATATATCAGTAGAGTAATTTTATGTATCTTTAGTGGTGGATTGATAAGATTATTTTGGACTTTATCTGTTACTTCTCCTGACAGTAAGCTGACACTTGTGTACCTAACATATGATACTTTTACCGTTGTTTCCAAAATTAGTTTACCTAGTGTAGATCAAGTGTTTAGATTGAAGCATATATGTGAACAGTATTTAGATAAAGGTAGGGAAGTTTTTATTGCATTTATGGATTTAGAAAAGGCATATGATAGTGGATAGAGGAGCAATGTGGCAGATATTGCAAGTATATGGAATAGGTGGTAAGTTATTAAATGCTGTAAAGAGTTTTTATGAGGATAGTGAGGCTCAGGTTAGGGTGTATAGAAGAGAGGGAGACTACTTCCCGGTAAAAGTAGGTCTTAGACAGGGGTGTGTAATGTCACCATGGTTGTTTAATATATTTATAGATGGGGTTGTAAAGGAAGTAAATGCTAGGGTGTTCGGGAGAGGGGTGGGATTAAATTTTGGGGAATCAAATTCAAAATGGGAATTGACACAGTTACTTTTTGCTGATGATACTGTGCTTACGGGAGATTCTAAAGAAAAAATGCAAAGGTTAGTGGATGAGTTTGGGAATGTGTGTAAAGGTAGAAAGTTGAAAGTGAACATAGAAAAGAGTAAGGTGATGAGGGTATCAAATGATTTAGATAAAGAAAAATTGGATATCAAATTGGGGAGGAGGAGTATGGAAGAAGTGAATGTTTTCAGATACTTGGGAGTTGACGTGTCAGCGGATGGTTTTATGAGGGATGAGGTTAATCATAGAATTGATGAGGGAAAAAAGGTGAGTGGTGTGTTGAGGTATATGTGGAGTCAAAAAATGTTATCTATGGAGGCAAAGAAGGGAATGTATGAAAGTATAGTAGTACCAACACACTTATATGGGTGTGAAGCTTGGGTGGTAAATGCAGCAGCGAGGAGACGGTTGGAGGCAGTGGAGATGTCCTGTTTAAGGGCAATGTGTGGTGTAAATATTATGCAGAAAATTCAGAGTGTGAAAATTAGGAAAAGGTGTGGAGTTAATAAAAGTATTAGTCAGAGGGCAGAAGAGGGGTTGTTGAGGTGGTTTGGCCATTTAGAGAGAATGGATCAAAGTAGAATGACATGGAAAGCATATAAATCTATAGGGAAAGGAAGGCGGGGTAGGGGTCGTCCTCGAAAGGGTTGGAGAGAGGGGGTAAAGGAGGTTTTGTGGGCAAGGGGCTTGGACTTCCAGTAAGCGTGCGTGAGCGTGTTAGATAGGAGTGAATGGAGACGAATGGTATTTGGGACCTGACGATCTGTTGGAGTGTGAGCAGGGTAATATTTAGTGAAGGGATTCAGGGAAACCGGTTATTTTTATATAGTCGGACTTGAGCCCTGGAAATGGGAAGTACAATGCCTGCGCTTTAAAGGAGGGGTTTGGGATATTGGCAGTTTGGAGGGATATGTTGTGTATCTTTATATGTATATGCTTCTAAACTGTTGTATTCTGAGCACCTCTGCAAAAACAGTGATAATGTGTGAGTGTGGTGAAAGTGTTGAATGATGATGAAAGTATTTTCTTTTTGGGGATTTTCTTTCTTTTTTGGGTCACCCTGCCTTGGTGGGAGACGGCCGACTTGTTGAAAAAAAAAAAAATCAAAATCCATTCAGTGATGTTTTACTAAATGGTATTTTTAAATTTAACTTCATATGTAATAGCATTAAGCAAATACTGTAGTATTTTATCTCACTCCATTAGATTCCATTACTTATTGGTGGAGCCACAACATCCAGAACTCACACAGCAGTGAAGATTGCCCCCAAATATTCAAATCCTGTGGTGCATGTGCTTGATGCTTCCAAGAGTGTGGTTGTGGTAAGTAAATTCTTAGATAGTATAACAATAACTTCATTATTTACACTAAACTGCTTTTCATGGGAATTGGTATAGTGCCTGCACTCTGAAGGAAAGGTGGAGATATGTTGCAGTTTTTGAACTGTAGTATTGGCATGCATCTGGCCAAACAGTAATGGAGTGAATGATGATGAAAGTGTTTCTTATTTTTCAGGTTACCCTGCCTTGGTGGGAAACAGCCGATGTGTTATAAAAAAAAATTAAGCTTATTTGCACAGCAAAAATTATCATTAAATTGTGAAAGAATCAAGCATGCTTTGTGTACCCCTTTGAACACAAGTACCGTACTGTGTATAATAATTTTACTGTAATATTATTATAATAAATGATACAGTAGGACTTCCCTCTTTATCCAAAGCTCTGATATCTCTAAACACAATTACTGAAAAAAAATCATGAGTTCTTACCTGTTATCCAGTAAGATTATACAATCATCATCTGAAGTTTTTGTGGCCACACTTAGCTTGTTTACAAGCCACTAGTTAACCAGATAGTGCATTGTTGTGGCACTCATGTTTGTGTGTTAGCAATGTCTGTGTACAAATTGCTGTAATCATGCAGTAATGACTGATGGAAGCATTATGTTGCACCTTCTCTAGATAATTTTTTTCCTGGATAGAGACACGGTTGACTGATAGGCAACATGGAGGATAGCACATGTGATGTATCTTGTCCAGTTTCAAGACTTTATCTATCCTCACAACCCAATCTGTTGCCAGGCTTTCTATTGGTTGCCTGTTCATCTAGACTGTTGCTGTTGGCAGCCTGCTGACCCACATGGCAAGGGTTCAAACCACACCCATTCCGTGATTTGTTTGCAATCGCATTATTATGATTTCGTGAGTCATGATGGTGGCTTTGAGGGGACTTGAGCTAGAGTATGCCATGGCCATGCTGGTGTGGGATTCATCTGTGAAAACCTACATTTGTGGTCACAGTGGGGCCCATGCTAACCTCCCTATGGTATATAGAAATGCATATACCTAGTTGGATTAATCTATTAGAGCCAGCTGGCCAAGTGGTTAACACATTGGCCTGTAAGTTTTAGGACAGATTCTTTATTTCTTGATTGATTTGATTTTCTTGAATTATTTACAAAGAAGTGGTCATCTTGTGTGTGATGACTTTAGCTACTGGAGTGATTGTCCAGAACAGGTTTCCTATTCATGCAAGTTCCTGGAGCTAATAGATCTGGATAATTTTGAGAGTATGTTATAACCCACCCGTATTGGTGTCCATACATTGGACTTGGTTCTGTCTGCTGCCAATTCTTGAAGCATTAACCCCTTGACTGTCGCAACCCCAAATCCTGAGGTGTCTCCTGGTGTCGCAAAAATTAAAAAAAAAAAAAAATTCTTATGAAATGAGAGAGAATCTTTTCCCGATGGTAATGACACCAAAAGTACAAAATTTTATGGAAAACTTATGGAATTACGCTCTCGCGAAGTTAACGACCTCAGCGATATTAACAAATCTCTATTTCCCCCACTTTGAGCCCTATTTTCAGCTATTTCCATTGTTCCAGTCAACCAAACTCATAACTATTTCTTTAGAATTCCATTTGTTCTATCAATTGAGTACAAGAAACTGCCCATTTACTGATTTCAACTACCCAATAAAGTGGTCAGAAATTGGCAATTTGGCCAATTTCATGCAAATTAAAAAATATGCCAATTTTAAAATAGGGTCCAGAATGAACAATGCAGACATTCCTGGCTCTAAAATAACATTTTCTTTGTTCATCAGTCACATCTCCAGGCCCCTCTGATATTACTCTTGCTTTCTGTTTTAAATTTTTATTCAAACAAAAAATAGAAGATTTACTGTTATGCATACTACTGCAGTATTGTAATAATTGTATAAATAATGTCAACCCATTTATGACTGCATATTAGAATGGCTACTTCGACATTTATTGGATAATGACATCGTTTGTTTACTTTTGAACATTGGCAAAAATCAAACATCTCCCCTATTTTGAGCTCCATTTCAAGGTCCTTTTCATAGTAAAACTAATCAAAATCACCTCTATTTCTATAATATGTTTTCCATTCTATCAAATGAGACCAAGAAAATGAAAATACAACCATAAATACTATACAAAAATAGACCACAAATTTGGCGTTTTAATTAAAAGAACGGTCAGTTTTTTTTTTCTCATTATGCACTGCATGCTGCAGGACTTTTTTTATATGGTGCACACTGACCACACAAACCCATTCTCTCACATGTGGGCCTACCAGCTTTCTCCTGCTTGATTTGAAGCCGCTAGAATTTATGAGTATATATACGTCAAACACGGTGGCTCGTAAGACATATATATACGACCGAAACAGTCAAAGGGTTAAAGATATGGCACTAATATCTCTTGTTTTGAAGGCTCTCTTCATACCCCATCCCATGTCATTTTTTTAATGCCAAATCTTCAGTTGGATGAAGATACACAAGAACCTGGTATTTACTCAACAATCCCTACTTATTTAAGCAATACAGTTTTTATAATTGTGGTTTTGCATATTCTTGTGTAAACATTTATTACTTTACTGTATGTCTTTACTTTAAAAAGGTATGATGCCATACAGTGAGACACTGAACACTTACTTTATCAGCTGATGTCTGTTTTTATTTTCTTTATACCTTGATGCATTGGTAAGTAAATAGTACTGCTTATTATATCTTAATAAAATGCATATTTCTGTGTATAGTGTTCATCGCTGCTTGATGCTTCTCTCTATGATGACTTCATCGATGATTTAACCGAAGATTATGATATGATCAGAGAAGAACACTATGAAAACCTTCGTGAGAAAACTTATGTTAGTCTTGCAGAAGCCCGTCAAAGGAAATTTAAAATTGATTGGGAAACTATTCCAAAACCTGGTTAGTGTTTCATTTGTTTTAGAATTAACTTTAAGGTAACCCTTAGCTAGGAATCTCAAATACATTAATTCTCTGTCATAAGGATTCTTATAACTGCCACCTATTTTTATAACTACCTCCTATAATATTAGAGGCATTAAGTGTTTTTGAGATACTATAGTAGCATACACTGAGTGTAGAAACACACTACAAATATAGCAGCGTACACACTGAGTGAAGCACCAGCATTATAAGTGTGTCTCTTTTGTAATAACAAAATTTGTACACTACCTAATTTTTTGCATGCATCAAATTGACATATTTCATTATGGATATAAACAAATCTCTCTTCTTCAGTACTTTGCAGCTATATTCTATACATCCTAAAGGCATAGCATTCACTCAACATTTCATATGGATATCCATATCATTCTCACATTCTGTTTACTGTATTAAATGTTTCTTCATGATAATATTGCTGTAGGCTTACTCACCCATGCTAATCATGGTCCAGAGGCTCTGATCCATTTTTTTTTTTAACACACAGCCGTATCCCACCGAGGCATGGTGACCTAAAAAGAAAAACACAAGTTTCTTTTTAAATTTAGTAATTTATACAGGAGAAGGAATTACTAGCTCCTTGCTCCCGCCCTTTTAGTTGCGTCTTATGGCATGCATGGCTGTCTGGTGTATGGCGACTGTAAAATTTTAAGTATACTGTACAGTAAGTATACTTAGAATTCATCAAGCTTTCTACCAAATTGTGGTAGGCCCCATTCTTGCCATAGATCAGGTTTTATACAATACTGATGACATTTTAACCATAATGTAGATTTTGTTCATACTTCTCTACTTTTCCTTCAATATAAACTAAAATACCATTTATGAATTAACCAGAATGGAGAGAGTTTTGCACTGTGTAATACCATTCAACTGGATATGGGGTGTTGTTGCTACCCTACTACAGTGCATGGATAGTATCTATGCCCCACATGTAGCGAGTTCAGCTCCACAAAATTCTTTTCTCTTCATATTGTTACATTCGATATTAAATAAGTTTCTAAATTTTGCAGTAATGGGTAAATTTGCTATAGTGTAATTTCAGTATTCTGTCTGAAGATTATGTGTGATAGTGTATATCAAAGCTGTTAGCCCCTTCACTGTCAGAAGCCCTGAAATTTAAAGAGCTGACAATGTCAGGGATTTTCTAAAATGGTAGAGAATCTTTCTCTGAATGTAATGGCACCAAAAATACTAAATTTGATGGAAAACTCATGAAATTACTCAGGTGCAAAGTTGACAGTCTGGGCACAATTCATGCAATTGTGAGTTCCCACTTTGAGTCCTATTTTAAACCAATTCGACTGCTCAATTCCACCAAATTTTTAGCTGTTGTGAAATTTATTGAGCTCAAGAAACCACCCATTCAACTACCAGAACTACCCTGTCAAGTGCAAGGAAGTCTGTAATTCAGCCACTCTAATACAAAATTAAAAACAGTTCAAAAACAGAGTAGAAAATAAACGCTACAGGCATTCCAGCCACTAACGCAACACTTAATCCTGTTCATTAATCATGTCCCCAGTTCTCTCCATTTTGAATTCTTCATCACACAAAAAGCAAAATTTTACCCTATTTCTTGGATAATAAAATATAACCAAGAATGATTCATCATGGATGAGGGCATCCCAGTAATTGAAGCAGGCCTAGTAAAAACCAGTAAAACAGACTAGGGGGGAGGGGGGTTACCCTTCCTCAGGAAAATTGTCAAAAATTTAATATTTCTGCTACCTTGAGCCCAGTTGCAAGCTACTTCCTGTCTTGAAACTAACCAAAATCATTTCCATTTCATTAGTATGCCTTCCATCATTTGAAACCAAGAAGCAGCCAATAAAACCATAAAATCCTCAGTTACTATTTTAAACCAAACGCTAGGTCAGGAGTTTGCTTATCCTGTCATGCACCGTGCACACTAGCTGCACAGACCCATTAAGTCTAGGCCAAAATTTATCGCTTGCAGCATATTTGAGAAAGCTGTGCTTAAAGTATAGATGTGTGTGATTAGCATTGGCATCAGTAACATAGATCTTTGTAAGAGATAGTGAATGGGTTAAGTGATATTGAAGGATCACACAATTTTTCTGTAGTGTTTGCCCTATTTCATTTTTTTTTTTTTTTTTTTTAATCTTTCATAGATTTGTGGGACAAAGGTTATTCCTATAATTATCCACTGTAGCATTTTCCACATAAAAGTTAATAAGGCATAGCCAGGTAACAGCCTTTTTCCATTTCAGCTGTTCCAAAGTTTTTGGGCACAAAAGTGCTCCAAAACTATGATCTGACAACATTAATACCCTACATTGACTGGAAGCCGTTCTTTGATGTATGGCAGCTTCGCGGCAAGTACCCTAACCGTGGCTACCCAAAGATTTTCAAGGATGCTACTGTAGGTAAGTTTTCATTTAACACTCACTCTCCAAAGTCCCAAAATCAAAATTGTGTCTACATTTAAAAAAAAAAAATTATTTTTTCTCATCAATTAAGAGTAAATTTTACTGGTGGTAATACTAAACACAAATCCCATTAGTACTTGTAAAGATATAGAGACGTGAACTTGAAGGTTGGTGACCTGCTGACAGCAACATTGGTGATCGTTTCTATTTTGTATTTTGTACTTTTTACTGGACTTGTCACCTTTTACTATATCTTACATAATTTTCTTATTACAGCCTTTAGTACACTTAGTGTTGTCCATATACAGCCTCTCCTCACATAACGATGGAATTCCGTTCCTAAGACCACGTTGGTAGTGGGTTTGTGTCAACCATCTTTGATATTGTTTTATTGCCACCTTTGCACCATTTATAACATTTCTGGTATATTCTTAAATGTGTATACAGTAATGTACTGTATATTGTAATAAACAGAATAGAGGAAATCAGCTGTAATATACAATATTTAGGCATGCACGCTGGTCAGAGAGCCTGTTGTAAGTCCAAGGCATTGGTAAACAAGTACGCTGCTAAGTGAGGAGAGGCTGTATTTTAAATTCCTAAGAATAATAATAATAATAATTTCTAAACCACTTGACAGGTGAAGAAGCAAAACGTGTTTTTGAGGATGCACAAAAGCTTTTGTCAAGAATCATCTCAGATGGATCACTGAGAGCTCGAGGTGTTGTTGGCTTGTACCCCGCTAACAGTGTGGAGGATGACATAGAGTTGTACAGTGATGAGTCAAGATCACAAGTTATTGCCACATTGTTTGGCTTAAGACAGCAGGTACTCTTGATGTTTGAAAGTTTTGAGTATATATTTCATTTGCCAAGAGCTTATGAGAATATTAATGGTATGGCAGCTGCTTGTAATCATCCAAGTGTATTAAGCAGAGGCCTCCTAAGCCTCTGCTTAATACACAGTATTAATGACTTGGTAAAATATCAAATACAGCAATACCTTGCATAGTACAGTTTTGAACAGTATGGATTTTGATATAATACTTTTTATAACTTTAATAATAGAAATTTTATTTAACTGCATTACGCCCCAGTATTGGACTGCTGCTGTGTACTGGTGTACTGAGCGGAAAATCCAAGGGCTCTTGAATCCTATTCAAAAATTGCTCTTGCTGTTATTTGACGGTCAAATAAGAAGACTGGGTAATGAAACATTTGTTTGCTTGAAGATTGGTTTGCAAATTATTTTTGTCCTGCAGTTGAACATTATTGCAAAAATAATGACCTGGATTTAAAGATTTTGTTGTTATTGGACAATGCATAAGGTCATCCTACTTCTCTTTCTGACTGGAATGAAAATGTCAGTGTAATTTTCCTGTCACCGAACACTTCATTATTGCAGCCAATGGATCAGGGTGTCGTTGCTACATTTTAGGCCTATTATTTAAGACATACCTTTGCACAAGCCATAAAAGTAACAATGGGAGAAAATGCCATAAGTTTAAATGTATTTTGGAAAGATTACAGTATCCGAAATGCAACTGGTAACATAAAAGAATCGTGGCTTGAAGTAACTGTGAGCAACATGAGAGCTGTTTGGCAATTTCTTTTACTGCATTGTTCCAATGATTTTGCCAGTTTTAAATACCATATTGAAACTGTGAAAACATGCAGCTTGGGAAAGATCTCAGATTAGAAACTTTGGATTATGAAAATGTGTGTCAGTGCATTGACTTGCAATCTGATGACTTTGGTGATACAACATTTGTGGAAATGGATCAGCAACATTTAATACAAAGAAGAAAATGCTGTGCCCATGAAAGAATTTGCATTGGATGAATTTCTTTCTTCTTCTTTCAACAAACCAGCTGTATCCTACCAAGGCAGGGTGGCCCCAAAAAAAAGTAGTTATTTTTTTTTTAACTTTAGTAATATATACAGGAGAAGGGGTATACTGCTCCCTTGCTCCCTGCATTTTAGCTGCCTCTTACAACTTGCATGACTTACGGAGGAAGAATTCTGTTCCACTTCCCCATGGAGATAGGAAATAAACCAGAACAAAAACTAGTAAGAAAATAGAAGTAAATGCAGAGGGGTATGTATATATATGCTAGTACATGCATGTGTGGTGTGATCTAAGTGTAAACAGAGGTAGCAAGATGTATCTGAAATCTTGCATGTTTATGAGACAGAAAAAAGAAACCAACAATCCTACCATCAGCAACTCACCTGACTATGCTTGTATAAATTTGCTTGTTGTTCATCCCTGTGTATTGACTGCAGAAGCCTGTCTGCAGGCGAAATGTCTCTATAAACTTCTCTCTACAATTGTCTTTTTCACCACCTGTCAGCTTTGTTCCATTTGTCTCCATCCAAATTGTGTTCATTATTTGGAATATTCCTAAAATATATTAGATATTAGACATAATGTTTTGCCCAGAATCAGTTGTGAGTGGGAGCCCTCAGGTAGGCAAAGTATGCTGCATTGATTGCTGGTGAGCAGCCAACTATAATAGCTTCCACCAGCATAGAACACCATGAATAGTCAGCTTCATTCACCAGAGGGGTTGCATTTCAAGCTGTCTTGTGATGTATAGTGGGGAGTCCAAGTTGAGGGATAATGGGAGAAAGAGGAGGGTTTTTGCATCACTGTGGACATTCTTTATCATAGAGGCTTCAATTTGGGAAGCTTTGTGGTAAGCAAGGTACCATGCCCATGTCACCCTGTCCTCTTGGTGATATTTATTACTTAGGTTCATGAATCATTCTCATGTTTTCTTTTTTATATTTTTGCAGGCAGTGAAGGAGAGTCATGATCCATTCTGCTGCATGTCAGACTTCATTGCTCCTAAAGAGTCTGGCATTAAGGATTACATTGGCATGTTCGCTGTAACGGCAGGTTTTGGGGTAGATGAATTGTGTGCCAAGTTAGTATTATTTGGATTTATCCCCTGCTTCTTACTTCCTTAATGTTAATAAATTTTTATTGAGTGTTTCTTCATTTAAGTTGTCAGTATAATCATTTCTTTATTTTCCTCTATAATACAGTGGACCCTCAGCTAACAATATTAATCCGTTCCAGAGAGCTCATCGTTAAATGAAATTATCGTTAGCTGAATTAATTTTTCCCATAAGAAATAATGGAAATCAAATTAATCCGTTCCTGACACCCCAAAGTATGAAAAAAAAGTTTACCACATGAAATAGACATTTTCTTATAGAAAAAAAGAGGAAGACATGCACAGTTACTACTGTACTAAATAAAGAATACATGACACTTACCTTTATTGAAGATCTGGTGATGATTGATGGGATGGGAGGAGGGGAGATGATGGATGTTATTAATTTTTGGAAGGGGGAATCCCCTTCCATGAGGACTTGAGGTAGCAAGTTCTTTTCCGGGGTTACTTCCCTTCTTCTTTTAATGCCACTAGGACCCAGCTTGAGAGTCACTGGACCTCTGTTGCACAACAAATCTGTCCATAGAGCTCTGTACCTCACGTTCCTTTAAGATTTGCCTAAAGTGGTTCACAACAGTGTCATTGTAATAGTCACCAGCACGGCTTGCAATAGCTGTGTTAGGGTGATTTTCATCCATAAAGGTTTGCAGTTCAACCCACTTTGTACACATTTCCTTAATCTTTGAAGTAGGCAACTTCAATTTCTCTCTCCCCTCCTCTGAAGCAATTTCCTCAGGTCTGGCCTCATGCTGGTGCAGATGCTCTTGCAGCTCATCAGTGGTTAGTTCTTCATCGTCCTCCTCCACCAACTCTTCCACATCCTCCCCACTAACCTCCAGCCCCAAGGGCTTCCCCAATGCCACAATAGATTCCACAACTGGCATAGGCTTCACAGGGTTAGTCCCAAACCCTTCAAAATTCCTCTCTTCTACACATTCTGGCCACAGTTTCCTCCAAGCAGAGTTCAGGGTCTTCTTAGTCACTCCCACCCAAGCTTTACCTATAAGGTTTATGCAATTAAGGATACTAAAGTGATCTTTCCAAAACTCTCTTTGGGTCAGTTGAGTGTCTGTGGTCACTTCAAAGCACTTTTGAAACATAGCTTTTGTGTAGAGTTTTTTGAAGTTTGAAATGACCTGCTGGTGCATGGGCTGCAGGAGAGGAGTGGTATTAGGAGGCAGAAACTTGACCTTGATGAAGCTCATGTCTCCAGAAATTCACTCTGCCAAATCTGAAGGATGACCAGGAGCATTGTCTAATTCCAGGAGGCACTTAAGCTCCAATTTAGTTTCCAAGAAGTAATTTTTCACAGTGGGGCCAAATACATAGTGAAACCAGTCATAGAAAAAGTCCTTAGTGACCCATGCCTTACTGTTTGCCCTCCACATCACACACAAATTAGCCTTGACGACAATGTTTTTCCTGAACACTCTGGGAGTTTCAGAGTGATACACAAGTAGAGGCTTCACTCTGCAATCCCTACTTGCATTACTACACAACTGTAAGGTTAGCCTGTCTTTCATAGGCTTGTGTCCTGGGAGTGCTTTTTCCTCCTGTGTAATGTAGGTCCTGTTTGGCATTTTCTTCCAAAACAGGCCTGTTTCATCACAATTAAACACTTGTTCAGGTTTCAATCCTTCAGCCTCTATGTAGTCCTTGAATTCGTGCACATATTTTTCAGCCACTTTTTGATCAAAACTGGCAGCCTCACCATGCCTTATCACACTGTGTATGCCACTATGATTCTTAAATCTCTCAAACCAACCTTTGTTGGCCTTAAAATCACTCACCTCACCACTAGTTCCAGGCATTTTTTTAATGAAATCATGCAACTTCCTAGCCTTTTCACATATGATCGCTTGAGAGATGCTATCTTCTGATATCTGTTTTTCGTTTATCCACACCAATAACAGTCTCTCAACATCTTCGAGTACTTGCGATCTCTGTTTCGAAAACATACTTGCAGCTTTTGCAACAACAGCTTCCTTGATTGCTTTTTTGTTGGCCAAGATAGTAGCAATGGTTGATTGAGGTTTGGTATACAACCTTTCCAGCTCTGAGACACACACTCCACTTTCGTACTTTGCAATTCTCTTTATTCAATTCCATACTAATTCTCACTCTTTTTACCATAGGGTTGGCACTAGAAGCTTTCTTGGGGCCCGTGGTAACTTATTTTGCAGTTTTTTTTTTTTTTTTTTTTTTTTTCAACAAGTCGGCCGTCTCCCACCGAGGCAGGGTGACCCAAAAAAAAAAGAAAATCCCCAAAAAGAAAATACTTTCATCATCATTCAACACTGTCACCACACTCACACATTATCACTGTTTTTGCAGAGGTGCTCAGAATACAACAGTTTAGAAGCATACACATATAAAGATACACAACATATCCCTCCAAACTGCCAATATCCCAAACCCCTCCTTTAAAGTGCAGGCATTGTACTTCCCATTTCCAGGACTCAAGTCCGACTATATGAAAATAACCGGTTTCCCTGAATCCCTTCACTAAATATTACCCTGCTCACACTCCAACAGATCGTCAGGTCCCAAGTACCATTCGTCTCATTTCTCTCCTATCTAACACGCTCACGCACGCTTGCTGGAAGTCCAAGCCCCTTGCCCACAAAACCTCCTTTACCCCCTCTCTCCAACCCTTTCGAGGACGACCCCTACTCCTCTTTCCTTCCCCTATAGATTTATATGCTTTCCATGTCATTCTACTTTGATCCATTCTCTCTAAATGACCAATCCACCTCAACAAACCCTCTTCTGCCCTCTGACTAATACTTTTATTAACTCCACACCTTCTCCTAATTTCCACACTCCGAATTTTCTGCATAATATTTACACCACACATTGCCCTTAAACAGGACATCTCCACTGCCTCCAACCGTCTCCTCGCTGCTGCATTTACCACCCAAGCTTCACACCCATATAAGAGTGTTGGTACTACTATACTTTCATACATTCCCTTCTTTGCCTCCATAGATAACGTTTTTTGACTCCACATATACCTCAACGCACCACTCGCCTTTTTTCCCTCATCAATTCTATGATTAACCTCATCCTTCATAAATCCATCCGCCGACACGTCAACTCCCAAGTATCTGAAAACATTCACTTCTTCCATACTCCTCCTCCCCAATTTGATATCCAATTTTTCTTTATCTAAATCATTTGACACCCTCATCACCTTAATCTTTTCTATGTTCACTTTCAACTTTCTACCTTTACACACATTCCCAAACTCATCCACTAACCTTTGCAATTTTTCTTTAGAATCTCCCATAAGCACAGTATCATCAGCAAAAAGTAACTGTGTCAATTCCCATTTTGAATTTGATTCCCCATAATTTAATCCCACCCCTCTCCCAAACACCCTAGCATTTACTTCCTTTACTACCCCATCTATAAATATATTAAACAACCATGGTGACATTACACATCCCTGTCTAAGACCTACTTTTACCGGGAAGTAGTCTCCCTCTCTTCTACACACCCTAACCTGAGCCTCACTATCCTCATAAAAACTCTTTACAGCATTTAATAACTTACCAGCTATTATATATATATATATTCATACATACATACATCTAGGTTTTTCTCCTTTTTCTAAATAGCTCTTGTTCTTCTTTATTTCTTCTATTGTCCATGGGGAAGTGGAAAAGAATCTTTCCTCCGCAAGCCATGCGTGTCGTATGAGGCAACTAAAATGCCAAGAGCGATGGGCTAGTAACACCTTCTCCTGTAGACATTTACTAAAAAGGAGAAGAACAAAAACTTTATAAAACTGGGATGCTTGATTGTGCGTGGATGTAGTGCGGATGACAATAAACAGATGATTGCTGATGTTATGAATGAAAAGAAGTTGGATGTCCTGGCCCTAAGCGAAACAAAGCTGAAAGGGGTAGGGGAGTTTCGGTGGGGGGAAATAAATGGGATTAAATCTGGAGTATCTGAGAGAGTTAGAGCTAAGGAAGGGGTAGCAGTAATGTTGAAGGATCAGTTATGGAAGGAGAAAAGAGAATATGAATGTGTAAATTCAAGGATTATGTGGATTAAAGTAAAGGTTGGATGCAAAAAGTGGGTCATAATAAGTGTGTATGCACCTGGAGAAGAGAAGAATGTAGAGGAGAGAGAGAGATTTTGGGAGATGTTAAGTGAATGTATAGGAACCTTTGAACCAAGTGAGAGAGTACTTGTGGTAGGGGACCTTAATGCTAAAGTAGAAGAAACTTTTAGAGAGGGTGTGGTAGGTAAGTTTGGGGTGCCAGGTGTAAATGATAATGGGAGCCCTTTGATTGAACTTTGTATAGATAGGGGTTTAGTTATAGGTAATACAGTGGTCCCTCGTTTTTCGTAATTAATCTGTTCCTAGAGCCGTTACTATAAACGAAATTTACGATTTACGAATCAATTTTCCCCATAAGAAATAATGTAAATACAATTAAACCATTCCTGACACCCAGAAGTATTAAAACAAAAAATTTTTTTACATGAAATATACATGTAGTACATAAACAATACAATGTGAAATGATGAATGAAACATTAACAGCATAACACTTACCTTTATTGGAGATTCTTCTTAGTGTATGGGAGACTGGAGGAGGAGAGAGAGTGGATTGTTTATAGTTTGGAAGGGGAATCCCCTTCCAGCAACACCTCAGGTACCAATTGCTCTTCTGGGGTTGCTTCTCTTCTCTGTTTCTTAATGCCACTAGGACCACCTTGAGAGTCAATGGAGTCCTGTCTCACAAAAATAACTGTGGAGAGAGCTCTGTTTCTGGCGTCTCTTTAACATTTCCCTAAAATGGCCCAAGACTTTGTCACTGTACATGTTGCCAATATGGCTTGCAACAACCTTGTTAGGGTGATGTTTCTCCATAAAGCTTTCCATCTTACCCCACATAGTAAAAATCTCTTTAATTTCTGAAGAAGGCACCTTCTTCCATCTCTCTTCCTCCTCCTCTGCAGCAAGATTCTGAGCTGCGATCTGTTGCTGTTCCTGCTGAAGCTCTTGCAGCTCTTCAGTGGTGAGCTCTTCGTTGTGGTCTTCCACCAATTTTTCCACATCCTCCAAACTCACATCCAACCCCATGGAACTCCCCAGTGCCACAATTGATTTTACAACAGACATAGGCTCATTAGGGTCAGTCCCAAACCCTTCAAAATCCCTCTTGTCGACACAATCTGGCCACAATTTTCTCCAGGCAGAGTTCAAAGTCCTGGTAGTCACTCCCTCCCAAGCCATACCTATAAGGATTATGCAGTGGAGGATGCTGAAGTGTTCTCTCCAAAATTCCCTTAGGGTCAAGTGAGTGTCTGTGGTCACAGTCAAGCACCTGTGAAACATTGCTTTTGTGTAGAGTTTTTTAAAGTTTGCAGTGACCTGCTGGTCCATGGGCTGGAGGAGAAGAGTGGTATTCGGGGGCAAGAACTTTACTGTGATGAACCCAAACTCCTTGAAAATTAGGTCATCCAAGTTTGGAGGATGAGCAGGTGCATTGTCCATTACTAACAGGCACTTGAGATCCAATTTCTTTTCCAGGAGATACTCCTTCACACTAGGGCCAAACACTTCATTGAACCACTCAACGAAAATTTCCCTCGTGACCCATGCCTTACTATTAGATTTCCAAAACACACACAATTTACTCTTCATAACATTGTTTTTCCTGAACACTGGGATTTTCAGAATGGTACACTAGTAATGGCTTCACTTTGAAATCCCCACTAGCATTAGCACAGAACATTAGCGTCAGCCTGTCTTTCATAGGCTTGTGTCCTGGCATTGCCTTTTCCTCTTGTGTAATGAAGGTCCTCTTTGTCATTTTCTTCCAAAAAAGGCCTGTTTTATCACAATTGAACACTTGTTCTGGTTTCAGTCCTTCAGCCTTTATGTACTCCTGGAATTCATGCACATATTTTTCAGCCGCCTTGTGGTCCGAACTGGCAGCCTCACCATGCCTTCACTGTGTATGCCATTACGGTTCTTAAATCTCTCAAACCAGCCTTTGCTGGCCTTAAATTCACCCACATCACCACTATTTGCAGGCAATTTCTTTACCAAATTTTCATGCAACTGCCTAGCCTTTTCACAAATAATCGAAGTCATAAGAGTATCTCCTGCTAATTGTTTCTCATTTATCCACACTGATAATAACTTCTCAACCTCTTCAAGTGCTGGTGATCTCATTTTTGTCAGCATAGTTACCCCCTTTGCAACAACAGCATCCTTGATTTCCTTTTTCTTGGCCACTATGGAACATAAGGTTGTGTAGGGTTTCTTATACATCCTGGACAGTTCGGCCACACTTGTACCACTTTCATATTGTTCAATGATGGTTTTCTTAAATTCAATCATATTTCTCACCTTCTTTACCACAGAATTGGCACTAGGAGCTTTCTTTGGAGCCATGGTAGCTTATTTAGTACTTGCAAGCACTAAAATAAATGGAATATTATGAAATATTTTGCTGGAGCACGTGAGGGGACCTTCGCTCACTGGTAAACAATGCCAGACTGGCTGCCGCCCCGGCTCACGCCTTGGGTACGCGTCCCGGACGAACTACGACTCGCGAGTCAACCTATGAAAAGCGAGTCCATGTTTATACGAAAATACCCCTATGATTGGCGAAATTTACGATTGCCGGGAACTACGAAAAGCTGGGGACTACTGTACATATTTTAAGAAAAAGAGGATAAATAAGTATACAAGATATGATGTAGGGCGAAATGAAGTAGTTTGCTGGATAATGTATTGGTAGATAAAAGACTGTTGAGTAGACTTCAGGATGTACATGTTTATAGAGGGGCCACAGATATATCAGATCACTTTTTAGTTGTAGCTACACTGAGAGTAAAAGGTAAATGGGATACAAAGAGAATAGAAGCATCAGGGAAGAGAGAGGTGAAGGTTTATAAACTAAAAGAGGAGGCAGTTAGGGTAAGATATAAACAGCTATTGGAGGATAGATGGGCTAATGAGAGCATAGGCAATGGGGTCGAAGAGGTATGGGGTAGGTTTAAAAATGTAGTGTTAGTGTTCAGCAGAAGTTTGTGGTTACAGGAAAGTGGGTGCAGGAGGGAAGAGGAGCGATTGGTGGAATGATGATGTAAAGAGAGTAGTAAGGGAGAAAAAGTTAGCATATGAGAAGTTTTTACAAAGTAGAAGTGATGCAAGGAGGGAAGAGTATATGGAGAAAAAGAGAGAGGTTAAGAGAGTGGTGAAGCAATGTAAAAAGAGAGCAAATGAGAGTGGGTGAGATGTTATCAACAAATTTTGTTGAAAATAAGAAAAAGTTTTGGAGTGAGATTAACAAGTTAAGGAAGCCTAGAGAACAAATGGATTTGTCAGTTAAAAATAGGAGAGGAGAGTTATTAAATGGAGAGTTAGAGGTATTGGGAAGATGGAAGGAATATTTTGAGGAATTGTTAAATGTTGATGAAGATAGGGAAGCTGTGATTTCGTGTATAGGGCAAGGAGGAATAACATCTTGTAGGAGTGAGGAAGAGCCAGTTGTGAGTGTGGGGGAAGTTCGTGAGGCAGTAGGTAAAATGAAAGGGGGTAAGGCAGCCGGGATTGATGGGATAAAGATAGAAATGTTAAAAGCAGGTGGGGATATAGTTTTGGAGTGGTTGGTGCTATTATTTAATAAATGTATGGAAGAGGGTAAGGTACCTAGGGGGATAAGTCTGTTGAGAATACCTGGTAAAGTGTATGGTAGAGTTATTATTGAAAGAATTAAGAGTAAGACGGAGAATAGGATAGCAGATGAACAAGGAGGCTTTAGGAAAGGTAGGGGGTGTGTGGACCAGGTGTTTACAGGGAAACATATAAGTGAACAGTATTTAGATAAGGCTAAAGAGGTTTTTGTGGCATTTATGGATTTGGAAAAGGCGTATGACAGGGTGGATAGGGAAGCAATGTGGCAGATGTTGCAGGTGTATGGTGTAGGAGGTAGGTTACTGAAAGCAGTGAAGAGTTCTTACAAGGATAGTGAGGCTCAAGTTAGAGTATGTAGGAAAGGGGGAGATTATTTCCCAGTAAAAGTAGGCCTTAGACAAGGATGTGTGATGTCACCATGGTTGTTTAATGTATTTATAGATGGGGTTGTAAGAGAAGTAAATGCGAGTGTCTTGGCAAGAGGCGTGGAGTTAAAAGGTAAAGAATCACACATAAAGTGGGAGTTGTCACAGTTGCTCTTTGCTGATGACACTGTGCTCTTGGGAGATTCTGAAGAGAGAAGTTGCAGAGATTGGTGGATGAATTTGGTAGGGTATGCAAAAGAAGAAAATTAAAAGTGAATGCAGGAAAGAGTAAGGTTATGAGCATAACAAAAAGATTAGGTGATGAAAGATTGGATATCAGATTGGAGGGAGAGAGTATGGTGGAGGTGAATGTATTCAGATATTTGGGAGTGGACATGTCAGCAGATGGGTCTATGAAAGATGAGGTGAATCATAGAATTGATCAGGGGAAAAGGGTGAGTGGTGCACTTAGAAGTCTGTGGAGACAAAGAACTTTGTCCTTGGAGGCAAAGAGGGGAATGTATGAGAGTATAGTTTTACCAACGCTCTTATATGGGTGTGAAGCATGGGTGATGAATGTTGCAGCGAGGAGAAGGCTGGAGGCAGTGGAGATGTCATGTCTGAGGGCAATGTTTGGTGTGAATATAATGCAGAGAATTCGTAGTTTGGAAGTTAGGAGGAGGTGCGGGATTACCAAAACTGTTGTCCAGAGGGCTGAGGAAGGGTTGTTGAGGTGGTTCGGACATGTAGAGAGATGGAGCGAAACAGAATGACTTCAAGAGCGTATCAGTCTGTAGTGGAAGGAAGGCGGGTAGGGGTCGGCCTAGGAAAGGTTGGAGGGAGGGGGTAAAGGAGGTTTTGTGTGCGAAGGGCTTGGACTTCCAGGAGGCATGCATGAGCGTGTTTGATAGGAGTGAATGGAGACAAATGGTTTTTAATACTTGACGTGCTGTTGGAGTGTGAGCAAAGTAACATTTATGAAGGGGTTCAGGGAAACCGGCAGGCCGGACTTGAGTCCTGGAGATGGGAAGCACAGTGCCTGCACTCTGAAGGAGGGGTGTTAATGTTGCAGTTTAAAAACTGTAGTGTAAAGCACCCTTCTGGCAAGACAGTGATGGAGCGAATGATGGTGAAAGTTTTTCTTTTTCGGGCCACCTTGCCTTGGTGGAAATCGGCCAGTGTGTTAATAAAAAAAAAAAAATTCATTGTAACAAACCTGTGCAAGAAATTTTTTTGTAAAACAAATATATTTTTAAATAACAAAAAAGGCACAATACCGTGACTGGAACAACACACAAATAAACCGCTTTGACTTTGTAAATGGTCCAAGTCGGACCGAAACATCGTTGTAAACTCCTCTCTTCTGTGTGCGGGTTATTTGTGTAAATATATTTTTATCACGTTTATGCAATAATTAAATTAAATATTTCTGCCACCCTGCCTCGGTGGGAGACGGCCGACTTGTTGAAAAAAACAAAAAAAAATTTCTGCCATTTTTATATGTTTAATTTAAAAAAAATTTTTATAGTTTTCAGAAAGACTTAGATGATTACAGTATAATTTTGGTGAAAGCTATTGGCGACAGATTAGCAGAAGCCTTTGCTGAAGAACTCCATGAGAGAGTGAGGAAGGAATTGTGGGGCTATGCCAGTGAGGAGTACCTGCAAGCTAATGACTTGCACAGACTCAGATATCAGGTAGGATGGCTCGTATATCATCATCATTGTCATGATTTATACCTTAATACAGTGGAACCTCAATTTTCATATGCCCTTGTTTGTATGTAAAACTGTGTTTTTTTTTTTTTTTTTTTACCAAACGACCATCTCCCACCGAGGCAGGGTGACCCAAAACGAAAGAAAATCCCCAAAAAGAAAATACTTTCATCATCATTCAACACTTTCACCTCACTTACACATAATCACTGTTTTTGCAGAGGTGCCCAGAATACAACAGTTTAGAAGTATATATACCTACCATCCGACTTACGACCTGCTCGACTTACAACCACTCGACTTACGACCGTGTTTTTTATGCCAAATTTCTGGGAAATAAACAACTATTTGTGTTGTACACAGTGTTTATCCTAAACCTTACAGTATAAAATACAGTACTAACAGCATAAAAAGTAAAGTAAAATGTGAAATACCAAAATAAAATAATAAAATAAAGTCATTACAAAAATGTGATGTTGATATTCAGTAGTAAAGTTCGACTTACGACTATTTCAACTTGCGACCGGTTTCTCGGAACCGAACTCGGTCGTAAGTCGGATGGTAGGTGTACATATAAAGATACACACATATTCCTCCAAACTGCCAATATCCCAAACCCCTCCTTTAACCCTTAAACGGTCCAAACAAATCGGCGTTCAAATTCGTAGTGCTACAAAAGTAGATCTACTTTTTTTTACATATTTTCAAATATAACAAAAAAAAATGTAGATAAAAGCTTTTTTACACGTTTTCAAATGTAAAACAAAAAAGAAGATCTACATTTTTTTACATACTTTCAGATGTTGAAAAAACGTATATATACGTTTGGACCATTTAAGGGTTAAAGGGCAGGCATTGTATTTCCCATTTCCAGGACTCAAGTCCGGCTATATGAAATAACCGGTTTCCCTGAATCCCTTCACTAAATATTACCCTGCTCACACTCCAACAGCTTGTCAGGGGCTGGAAGTCCAAGCCCTTCGCCCACAAAACCTCCTTTACCTCCTCCCTTCAACCCTACAAAATGTATTTTTGGTTAATATTTTTGGGTGTCTGGAATGGATTAATTGGATTTACATTATTTCTTATGGGAAATATTAACAAAAAATACATTTTATAGAGAATAACTATAGTTTTACGTACAAACTAGGGCATATGAAAACCGAGATTCCACTGTACCATACTTAGGTGGATTTTTTTTTTTATATATATAAGCGGCTGTCTTCTGCCAACACAGGGTGATCCGAAGAAGAAAGCATTCACCATCATTTACACAACTGCTGTCTTGCTAGTTGTGTGCTGACATCACAGTTTAGATTGCCCTCTGACTCCAACATCCCCCACCCCTCCTTCAGTGTGTAGGCTCTCCCATTCCCACCTCCAGGACTAAAGTCCAGCTACCAATAACCCTGAATCCCTTCTTAAAAGCTACATAGCTCACTCCATCAGCAAATCCAATAAAAAGTGCTTGTCCCCATTTACACCTATTGAACATACTCGCACAGAACTGCTGAATGCTCAAACCCCTAACACTAAGCTTCTTTTGTCCCCTTCCTCCCTCCAACCATTCCTGGGACAGCCCTTACCCTTCCTACCCTCCACCCCAGATTTATATACCCTCATCATCATCCTATCCCTTTCCATCATCTCTCAATGCCCACACCACAACCCCTATGGGTAGATATCATCAATGTAGAGGGAAAATTCCTAGGAATCCACCTTGACAGTAGCCTTAAATTCCAGACCCATATACAAATTTCCAAGAAAATCTCTAAGACGGTAGGCATACTATCAAAGATACGGTACTATGTTCCACAATCAGCTCTCATTACACTGTATCACTCGCTTATCTACCCTTATCTCACCTATGGAATTTGCATGGGGATCAACAACATTAAGTCACCTAAGACCACTAATAGCCCAGCAAAAGGCTGCAGTCAGAATGATAACAAATTCCCACTCCAGACAGCATACTCCACCAATATTCAAAAGTCTAAAACTACTCACCGTAAAGAACATCCATGCATATTCTTGCGCCTACTACTTACATATAACACTACACTCAAACATAAACCCTTCACTCAAATTTCTCCTCACTAACCTTAATAGGATGCACGACCATAACACAAGGCACAGATCACTTTTTGATGTACCCTGTGTCCACATCATACAATGTAAGAACTCTATGCACATAAAGGGGCCCCAAAATTTGGAATTCATTACCAGTAAATACTAAGTAACCCGGTCTGAACATCAATTTAAGACTTTTCCTAAAAACCATCTACTCACCCTAAACTAAATATTCAATACTCAGTACTTAAATTTGCCAAAAGATCTCCCAATTACCTAAATCTTAACGCTTCAAAATTTAAATGCCCAAAGTCCATACATAATGTTACACTATAGAATAAATACCTGCACAAAATTATACTGCCGTACACCATATTGTAGCACTCTCATACTGTAAACTACTTTCTCCAACGCTCAACATTATATTCCAGTATTATAACTTAAATATTGATATACACAACCTACAAAATACTTAAAAATTATCCCAATGTAATATCTCCAGATTGTAACTTGAGTTAACTTACTGTCTCCTTTAAATAAAAACAGATGTACAACTTAAACAAACTATGATCAATTTCTGTAGTATTAAGTAGTATGTAAGCCATTAATTTAGTCTGCCCATAATGCCGTGGCATGATAGTGGCTCTCTTTGCACTGAAACTCATTATTGTAACTACAGAATCTCAATGTAAACTTGTAAAGAAATAAAAATTGTATTGTACTGTTTTGTATTGTATAATGGTGTCCCGTAAGATATTTGTGTGCCATGATTACTGAAAGTGAAAGAAGATGTACAAGTTATGGTGGTTAAGTCAAGTCATTTCAGTGATTAGGTAACAGGTATTTAAAATTTATGAATGTAAGTGGTTTTCTTCTAAATTTAAGTTTCATTAATGCATTTTTTGACCATTATAATTCATGAATGGGTAAAATTTGTCTAAATACATACTTTTTCTTGTTTATAATGTTCTCTTGCAACAAAATACAGTGTCATGTTTTAAAAAGCATTTATTTCTCTTAATATTTCTCTACAGTCACTTCTGATGATTGTAACAAGTGAAAAAAATTTCATCTGCCACTTTCAGTGGGCATGGTAGCACCATCCAGGCAGGTATGGTTCTGCATAGAGTAGAAATGTCATGCTAACTCTTATATGGTTGTAGGATGTTTCTCTTGATTGTGGAATCAAATCTTTACCTCACTATTATGACAATCATTGATTTTTGTAAATAGTTTAATTTTTTGTCAAGGGGATTCGGCCTGCTCCTGGATATCCAACTCAACCAGACCACCAGGAAAAATTAACCATGTGGGACATTATGAAAGTAGAGGAACAAACAGGAATTACTCTGACAGAAGCACTTGCGATGATCCCTGCAGCTTCAGTTTCAGGACTCTATTTTGCAAATCCTAAGAGCCATTACTTCTCTGTAGGAAAAATAGAGAAGGATCAGGTATGTTGTACCCTAAAATATTCTGGTGAATTGTCAGTTTGAGTGTACAGTAGTTGTACAGTTTTTTCCACTGAAATTTACAGTACTGATAATTAGCAAAGAAAATTATCTAAGAATGGAACAAAACAGAATGACTTCAAGAGTGTATAAATCTGTAGTGGAGGGAAGGCGGGGTAGGTGTCGGCCTAGGAAAGGTTGGAGGGAGGGGGTAAAGGAGGTTTTGTGTGCGAGGGGCTGGGACTTCCAGCAGGCATGCGTGAGCGTGTTTGATAGGAGTGAATGGAGGCAAATGGTTTTTAATACTTGACATGCTGTTGGAGTGTGAACAAAATAACATTTATGAAAGGATTCAGGGAAACCGGCAGGCCAGACTTAAGTCCTGGAGATGGGAAGTACAGTGTCTGCACCCTGAAGGAGGGGTGTTAATGTTGCAGTTTCATAACTGTTATGTAAAGCACCCCTCTGGCAAGACAGTGATGGAGTGAATGATGATGAAAGTTTTTTCTTTTTCAGGCCACCCTGCCTTGGTGGGAATCAGCCGATGTATTAATAAAAAAAAAAATTATCTAAGTAAAAATGCAATAGACCAAAAAAAACAACATTTGCAAAGTACTGTAAATGCAGTGTAATTAATCTACTGTGTAAGCAACAGCATGTTGATTGAAACCTATTGTTTTATTTGTTGTCCTACCCTATGATTAAATCATTAATATTCTGATTCAAGCTAAATCAGTAATTATATTGCAGTAAGACTCAATCTTTGCAAAAAAGTGTTTTAAACTCAAACTCTTTATGTGTTCTCACCAATTTGAGAAATGTTACTCTTAAATGGTTAAATGTAATAAAACATTTGATTTTATTTGTAAAAAATAAAATTGTCTAATATCAGAAAAGTAAACAAACCATGCATGTATACTGTAATACAGAGTTAACCATACTTTTTGCATGTGCCTACCTGTATTAACTTTTGACTTCTTAAAATACTGTGTATATTATGGCCCACTATAGATATATATTCTGACTCCTAAGTATCTTTACCTAATGTTAAAAAAAAAATAATTTCAATTAATTTATTAACATGTCAGCCGTTTACCACCGAGGCAGGGCGACCCAAAAAGAAAGAAAAAACTTTCATCATCATTCAACTCTTTCACCATCACTCATACATAATCACTGTCTTTGCAGAGGCGCTCAGATACAACAGTTTAGACATCCCTGCAAACCGCCAGTATCCCAAACCCCACCTTTAGCCCTTAAGCTGTCCAAACGTAGATCTACATTTGTATCGGTAGTGCTCCAAACGTAGATCTATGTTTTGTTTTTCCTGCCTCCAAATTTGGCACAATTGGTCTGAGATGCTTGGGCAGTATAGAATGAGTCTTAACACTCGCTGTGCACAGTATTAAAAAAATTTGGGACTGCTTAATACCTTATGGGAGCACCAGTTCAGTTGAGCACCAGCTAGAGCAAATAGTGTGGCAAACACCAGGGATTCACTGATGTCATATCATATTAACACTTCCCTTTTAAGAGAAGAGTGATGTTGATCCAAAGTTTAGTGGCTTTGAGATGGATGTGGCCACAAGTGATAGAGGAAATGTCAAACACCTCGAGTTCTGAAACATGTGAGAAAATAATTGTTTTGGAAGACCTAAAGTAGAAGAAATTGTTGTAGAGGGCATAGTAAATAAGTTTGGGGTGCCAGGGGTAAATGATAATGGGACCTTTAATTGAATTTTGCATAGAAAAGGGGTTTGGTAATAAGTAATAGGTATTGTAAGAAAGAGGAGCATACGAGATATGATAAAGGGCATAATGACAGCAGTTTATTTAGTAGATACAAGGTCAGTGGGTGAACTTCTGGATGTGCATGTTTTTTAGAGGGGCAAGAGATATATCAGGTCATTATTTAGTTGTGGCTACAGTGAGAGTAAGAGATAGAGGGGGTAAAAGGAGAATGTCATCAGTGAATAAGAGAGAAGTGAAAGTTATAAACTTGAGTAGGAAGAAGTTAGGGTAAGATATAAGGAACTGTTGGGACAAAGACGGGCTAGTGACAGTATAGGTAATGGGGAGGAGACCGAAGAGGTATGGGGTAGATTTGAGAATGCATTGTTAGCATGTGCAGCAGAAGTTTGTGAATATAGGAGGGTGAGTGCAGGAGGTAACATGAACAATTGGTAAGCCAGAAAAAGTTAGCAAATGAGAGGTTTTTGCAAAGAAAAGATATAAGGAGGGTGGTGTATATGAAGAGTAAAAGTGTGGTTAAGAGAGTGGTGAGGGAATGTAAAAAAGCAAATAGTGGGTGAGGTTTTGGCAACAAATTTTGCTGAAAATAAGAAAAAAAAAATTTTTTTTGGAGTGATATTAATAAGTTGAGAAAGCCTAGGGAATGAATAGACTCAACACTTGTGTTTTTTTATTAGATGGGAAGGTGGAGGGGATATTTTGAGGAGCTGTTAAATGTTGAAGAGAGGGAGGCAGTGATTTCATGCATTAGTCAGGGAGGTATAACATCTTTTAGGAGTGAGGAAGGGCCAGATGCGAACATGGGGAAGGTATGTGAGGCAGTGGGTAGAATGAGAGATGTTAAAGCAGCTGGGATTGACAGATAGACATGTTCAAAGCAGGTGGGCAATTTCTTGTGGTCAGTTGATAGATACTTTGCTAGTATGCCTTCCGTTCTAAGAATTTTGTCAAATTGAGCAATGGAATTCTTAAAATAGGACTCAACATGGGCAAAATTGCATCTGCAGAAATTGCACCCAGACTGCTAACTTTGTGCTTTCATAATTCCATAAGGTTTTCCATCAAATTTCATATTTTGGTGCCATTACCTTCAGAAAAAGATTCTCTACCATTTCAGATTATTTTCTAAATGCCAATACTGGGATCACTTTTAATTTTGGGACTTCTGACAGTGAAGGGGTTAAAACTGTGTTTTATGAATAGGTGTATTATTATTATTACAAATGAAACTAAGTTCTAAACCCACTAGGGTCATGAATAGGTGTAGGTTTAGAAAAAATGTTTCTAACAAGCCTCTTCAGTTTCAAGTCATAAAAGTTGATTCTAGTTAAATTAGCTTGTGAGGTAATATCATATCAGTTGAAGAGATTGGTTTATTGTCCTCAGCTGAGCAGTTATTATAATAGCTTGACATAATATCTGGCCAATTTACTTTCCATGTAGATTATGAATTTAGAATCGTATAATGAAATGGTGAAAGGGAAAACAAGGGATAAAACATGTGAAAAATGGTTTTTGTGATGTTTTGAAGTGAATAGAATTTATAAGAATTAGTTCTATAATGCAGAAAAACATGTAAATCTAAATACAAATAAACACTAATTTCATTAAATTGCAGATTATGAACTACGCTCAAAGACGAGGTGCTGACATCATGCAGGTTGAAAGGTGGTTGGCCACAAACCTGTCCTATGATCCATCAGAAGAGTGAATTGCAGGTGATGGTTGTTCACACATCTTAGTCAATCAGAAGAGTTGGTGATAAAAATGATTGACTTTCAAACCTGTCCTATGATTATCAGAAGAGCTGAGGTGGCAGGGCAGAAATAATTTTTGATGTGTATTGTGTTTGAATATTGTTAACAATACAAGAGATACAGAGCTTTGAGCTGAACTGGAAAAGCTTGTAATTTAAAAAAAATATATTTTTTTAAATGTTAACCTACAGTTACTGTGTATAGAAATTGTAATTTAAAATTGTATTTTTTTTTTTTCATAATTTGAAGCTCTACCTGAAATCCATTATTTATTTTGAAATAAATATTAAGGTTTTTGCCTCCTTTTGTATTGTGGTTATTGCATTTATTATTATAATCAAGGGGAAAGCACTAAACCCATAGGATTATACAGGACCTGTGGGGGGGATGGAAGGTATTCAGGGAACTGGAGCACAGAGCCAGTTCCCTAGATCAAGAGCCCATCACCAGCATCAAGGAACCTTCCTTGAGGGGTGGTTATTGCAAATCAGTAGGGAAAAGGGGGGGGGGGGGGGGGAAAGCCATGCAACAATCTCCAAGTACATAATTGGAATTGAGTAGCCCAAACTCTACATAGAGAGCACTTAAGCATCAAAGCACACCCATTGAAGAGATTTGGATGTGTAATTTTGTAGCCATGTCCCATGGTTTTTGTTGCTTTCTTGGTTAAGAACCTATTCTTATGAGAGATAGGAGACTCAGAATTTTAGCAAATCTGCATATGGTAATTAAAAAGCAGTGTCTATAAAAGACGAACATCATAGGTGGTGGTCAGGTAAGGAAGCATGTCTGGGTGTTGACTAAGTTCTCTGGTGACTGGGACTGAAGAAGCCACTAGCTGGCAAAATATTTCCAGGCTGAGGGACTGATTACCTCAAACTTATCTTTTACCATTATTATACGTGTTGGACTGAAGCCACCACTGACTGGTGAAACTTTTCCCGAAATATCCCTAAATTCATACTGTTCAGTAACTGTATGGTTCCTACATCTCTGAACAGGATAGTCAAATTTGTCTTCTGTTTGTTGAATATTCTGGAAGCCTTGCTGAGGGGCTCTTGATTTAGGGAATTGGATCTGTGCTCCAGTTCCCCGAATTAAGCCTGAATGCCTTCCACATCCCCCCCCCCCCAGGCGCTGTATAATCCTCCAGGTTTAGCGCTTCCCCCTTGATTATAATAATAATAATGGAAGCCTTGCTTAACCTCCCTGAAAGCTGCTTACCATAGTTGTCTGAACCTCCTTAAAATTCTCTCTTCCCATCTTCCTTTAGGAAGCTGGTAGACTAGCCTTCACCTTCATTTGGCCCTCATCTGAACCACACTACAGTGACCAGTAATATTCTTCAACCATCCCTGCTACTATTTCTAAACTATCCCATTCATCATGGGTTACATGTGTTTAAGCTTTTCTACCATCCATGGCACTGTATGACCCATGTGGGTTTAGAGCTTAGTTTAGATTTTAATAATAGCCACAGTCGAGAACCTATATGCAGAAGCAAATGCCCCAATCTTAGTAAGATTGACATGGTACCCATTGTCTTAAATTTTGTCCACTTCCATGATCTTCCACATTGAACGATAACAGAAGTTATTATTATTATTTTTTTTTTATTTATTATCACACTGGCCGATTCCCACCAAGGCAGGGTGGCCCGAAAAAGAAAAACTTTCACCATCATTCACTCCATCACTGTCTTGCCAGAAGGGTGCTTTACACTACAGTTTTTAAACTGCAACATTAACACCCCTCCTTCAGAGTGCAGGCACTGTACTTCCCATCTCCAGGACTCAAGTCCGGCCTGCCGGTTTCCCTGAACCCCTTCATAAATGTTACTTTGCTCACACTCCAACAGCATGTCAAGTATTAAAAACCATTTGTCTCCATTCACTCCTATCAAACACGCTCACGCATGCCTACTGGAAGTCCAAGCCCCTCGCACACAAAACCTCCTTTACCCCCTCCCAGGGTCATACAGTGCTGCAGGGTAGAGAGTATAACAAAAGTAGAGTTTGTGAGGAGTGCTAAAAGGGAAGCGGTAATTTCATGCACTGGCCAGGGAGGTATACCATCTTTTAGGAGTGAAGAACAGGATGTGAGTGTGGGGGAGGTGCGTGAGGCATTACGTAGAATGGAACTGATGGGATCATGACAGAAATGTTAAAAGCAGAGGGGGATATAGTGTTGGAGTGGTTGATATTTTTATTTAATAAATATATGAAAGAGGGGAAGGTACTTAAGGATTGGCAGAGAGCATGTATAGTCCCTTTATATAAAGGGAAGGGGGACAATAGAGATTGTAAAAATTATAGAGGAATAAGTTTACTGAGTATACCAGGAGAAGTGTATGGTAGGGTTATAATTGAAAGAATTAGAGGTAAGACAGAATGTAGGATTGCGGATGAGCAAGGAGGTTTCAGAGTGGGTAGGGGATGTGTAGATAAAGTGTTTACATTGAGGCATATATGTGAACAGTATTTAGATAAAGGTAGGGAAGTTTTTATTGCATTTATGGATTTAGAAAAGGCATATGACAGAGTGGATAGGGGAGCAATGTGGCAGATGTTGCAAGTACATTGTACTATGTGGAATAGGTGGTAAGTTACTAAATGCTGTAAAGAGTTTTTATGAGGATAGTGAGGCTCAGGTTAGGGTGTGTAGAGGAGAGGGAGACTACTTCCCAGTAAAAGTAGGTCTTAGACAGGGATGTGTAATGTCACCATGGTTGTTTAATATATTTATAGATGGGGTTGTAAAAGAAGTAAATGCTAGGGTGTTCGGGAGAGGGGTGGGATTAAATTATGGGGAATCAAATACAAAATGGGAATTGATACAGTTGCTTTTTGCTGATGATACCGTGCTTATGGGAGATTCTGAAGAAAAATTGCAAAGGTTAGTAGATGAGTTTGGGAGTGTGTGTAAAGGTAGAAAGTTGAAAGTGAACATAGAAAAGAGTAAGGTAATGAGGGTATCAAATGATTTAGATAAGAAAAATTGGATATCAAATTGGGGTGGAGGAGTATGGAAGAAGTGAATGTTTTCAGATACTCGGGAGTTGACGTGTCAGCGGATGGATTTATGAAGGATGAGGTTAATCATAGAATTGATGAGGGGAGAAAGGCGAGTGGTGCGTTGAGGTATATGTGGAGACAACGTTATCTATGGAGGCAAAGAAGGGAATGTATGAAAGTATAGTAGTACCAACACACTTACATGGGTGTGAAGCTTGAGTTGTGAATTCAGCAGCGAGGAGGCAGTGGAGATGTCCTGTCTAAGGGCAATGTGTGGTGTAAATATGCAGAAAATTCGGAGTGTGGAAATTAGGAGAAGGTGTGGAGTTAATAAAAGTATTAGAGGGCTGAAGAGGGGTTGTTGAGATGGTTTGGTCATTTAGAGAGAATGGATCAAAGTAGAATGACATGGAGAGCGTATAAATCTGTAGGGGAAGGAAGGTGGGGTAGGGGTCGTCCTCGAAAAGGTTGGAGGGAGGGGGTAAAGGAGGTTTTGTGGGCGAAGAGCTTGGACTTCCAGCAAGCGTGCGTGAGTGTGTTAGATAGGAGTGAATGGAGACAAATGGTATTTGGGACCTGAGGATCTGTTGGAGTGTGAGCAGAGTAATATTTAGTGAAGGAATTCACGGAAACCGGTTATTTTTATATAGCCAGACTTGAGTCCTGGAAATGGGAAGTACAATGCCTGCACTCTAAAGGAGGGGTTTGGGATATTAGCAGTTTGGAGGGATATGTTTGTGCATCTTTATAGGTATATGCTTCTAAGCTGTTGTGTTCTGAGCACCTCTGCAAAAACAGTGATTATCTGTGAGTGAGGTGAAAGTGTTGAATGACGATGAAAGTATTTTCTTTTTGGGGATTTTTTGTTTTTTTGGGTCACCCTGCCTCGGTGGGAGACGGCCGACTCGTTAAAAAAAAAAAAATTTAAACTCTCGAGTATTGGCCCAATGGGAAACAGTTAACAGCATTCTGGAGAGCCTGCTACTAGGTGATAGATAGCACCTGCACAAGCTATAGCGAAGTCATCAGCATTAAGTGACAACTAAATATTAGTTGGGAGAACAGAGGCCAGATTATAGCAGGAGAAAAAGTGGTGCTAAGAACACATCCCTGAGGGACACCCCTCAGCTTGGACAATGTCCAGGGAGAGCACATTCGCCTCAACACTGAACTCTCACGAAGTTTGAGGAAAAATGGCAGACTGCCTCAGAAACCTAAGGAATGAGCTTGGGCCAAGATGTTATATCTTCAAGTAGTGTTGTATGCTTTTTCCAAGATCAAAACTGTATAGTCCTTGTGGCTTAGCACTTCTTTTTGATTATAATAATAATAATAATAATCCAAGATCAAAAAGACTGCAATAACCAGGTTGTTACTAGCAAAGGCATTATGAACATTTGTATCTAAGTGAAGCAAGGGGTCAATAATGGAGCAATCCTCACGACATTGACTAGTGGAAAGACCATTGTGTCTAAATACTACAAACAGCTGTTTCCCCAGAAGTTTCATCACCTTGCAAACTGCACTGGCAAGAGCAATGGGACTATAATGTGAGGTATTTCCCAAAGTACCTGGTTTATGTAAAGGAAGAACAATGGCACATTTCCACAGCTGGAGAAGAACTCCCTGCAACCAAATTAGATTAAAAAGATGCAAGAGGACTGCAAGGGCAGATGGATGTAAATGCTGAAGCATACAAATATGAATGCCATCAGGCCCAGCTGCCAATGATTAGCAAGCAGAAATAGTTGACTAGTTGTAGAAGGTACATTACAAGACTTCTCTGCTAGTAGTAGTCTAAGGGCTGTAACACTTGCAGACTTGGAAGAAAGGAATGAGGGGCATAGATGGAGCCCAAGAGATGCACAATATAAATGAATGGTTCAGAGAACTGACAAGTTAATAAATTATGTGTGGAACACTTTGGTATCTTTAATGAGGAAACGCTTTGCCACAGTGACTTCATCAGTCCATACGAAGGAGAATGGTGAAGAACAGGAGTAGTTTGAGGTAATCAGTCCCTCAGCCTTAAGTCGATGTGGTCAGTCCATCAATCTTGAAAAGAATAAAGCGTATGTGCAGAGAAGTAGCTCATATACCATAGGCAGGAGATGCAGCACATACGCTTTATTCTTTTCAAGATTGATGGACTGACCACATCGACTTAAGGCTGAGGGACTGATTATCTCAAACTACTACTGTTCTTCACCATTCTCCTTTGTATGGACTGATGAAGCCACTGTGTGGCAAAAAGTTTCCTCATTAACGATGCTCAGATATGCACAAGATGATTTCCAATTTCCATGGCAACTTCAAGAGGGTGTGCAATGCTGACACCAGCAACCCTAAGAACAGGAGCCAGGTCTGAAAAGTATTAGCCTTTCAATTTCCGTAGTTTTTTCCAGACTGCACTCGAGAGAGACCCATAGTGATGGTAGAAAATCTCACCAACAGGTCCATTTAGTGAAGAGTGCATACAGCCACTTCTCCCAGGATATTAAGATGCTTGTTCTTTAGTTACAAAACAGTAATTGCAAACTTCAGAAGTGTGTGCATGGGGGGTGGGCTTCCTGGGCCTCCCAGAGCCTCCTTTCCTAACGGAAGTGGTGGCATGGGGAAGGTTACTTGCAGGGTTTTTTTTTTTTTTTTTTTTTTTTTTTTTAAGGCTCGGGTCTAGATAGACTGTGGGTTGTCTTCCAGCCTCTTGGCATTATCCATCAGTGATCCCCTTGCCCTGGAGAGTGAGGACAAGTCTCCATATAAAGTATCTATCAACCCATTGTGTTCCACAGGAACAGCTGTAGACTATCAAAAGAAGAATCTTGCAATACAAAAGGGGATGAAAAGAGCATGACACCACCAACATGGACTGTAGGCTACCGAGAATTTTGCATTTTTGTATCGTTTGCCTGACTTGGTGGGTTGCCAGACAGCTAATTCACTTTACACGGTTGGAAAGGCGAGAAAAAAATGTTTGGTGCTCAGTCAGCAGCAGACTGTGCATTTCATAGCAAAGATTTTTTGGAGACTAATTGTGGGCGTGTTGGTTTGAATATTTTTTTTTGCGACAGTTTCAGCTTACAAGCATCATTGTACTATATGTTGAATTTAACAGTTGAGTGTGTAATGATCTTTTGAAAATATCTAAAAATATTTAAAATACTTCCCTGCCACAAACCTCATATCTGCATTGTTAATTATTAAAATTAGGTGTCAAGTACAACTGCTATTCTGTAATGCTGCATTTATGATTGTCTGCTAAAATGCAGTTTTAACAGTGTAAAATATGTCTTTAGAAAAGCACTCAACCCATGTTTGTACATACAGAAGAATTATTCCTTTATAATTTATTACTCTTAAAATATTAAAATTAATCAACTAGGTTTTTCACAAAGTGCTAAACCAATAAGTCACTAATGTATTGGGTACACATGAATTCAGCCTTAGACATTGCCTACATTTTTTTTTAAACACTTAAGTGTCCGAGTCAGTGCCTTAATACTTGACACTGGAATATAAGATACAATAGAATTTTTCATTAGGGCAATCCTTTTGAATGGCAGTGCTAGTGAGCCAAGGAATAAATCATCCCTCCCTTCCTTCCTTGAATGAAATCCAGTTATAGTACCACTCGTTCACCAGACACTGACCCTACATGTCAGTGCATTCCCATTACTGTGATGATTCAGTGTTGTAAAACAGAGTAACCAAGTTTAGTATTTTAAATACTTCACACCAGTACTAAACTGTTTATCTTTTTTTCTTTTGTTAGGAATGAAAAAAGATGACAATTTTTTAACTTTATTGCTATATGCATATACCTGCACACTCTTTACAACTAATAAGACCTAGACAACCTCATTATCAAGGACATCAAAAACACTGTCTGTCAAGTCATTCATGATTTTAAGCTCTGGCGTATTGAAATTCTTCAAGAAAATATATGCTGACTGGGCCGTCTGTTGGAATGCTACCAAGGAAGGCTGGAACTGCATGGCTGCATACACACCAATGATTAATAACTGTGGAAGATGTTACATAATATACACATTGTACTGTACATAATATATTTAGCACTCGAGTCATAAGCCCATCCATTCTGGTTGCTTTGGCCCTTCAACTCACTCCTGGCATTTACCTGGAGTTTACTTTATCAGTTTCTCCCACCCTAAAAACCATTTTTATGTATGGGGCAGAGTAGAAATCACTAATCCTCTACATATGACAATTCAAAACATTCTCTCCAATATCTTAACATTTGCATTATTCAGTACAGAATTTGCTTTCCTGTTTCTTTATCAAGGGGACAAAAGTAATTAACAAATTTTGCTATCATTTGCACTTCTCCATTACTCTCACTCTTCATATATGCTTACTGCCTTCCTCTTGTTCCCCACCCCCCTCTGTTAAAATATCCTATATAATAATCTCTTCCTATTCTTATTACCAAACTAATCAATCCAATTTCTACAAGAAGGGATTACACAGAAGAGGTTACAGTCTCATCACTATGGTTATAGTGCTTCTGCCCCTTCCCCCCCCCCCTTTCCCCAAATGTAATAATACAGTTGCCAAAATATAAAATATTAAAATATATATATAAAAAAAAATTACAGTTGCCAAATTTAAACATTCCTATTTTTAGCCATCCCATTGCTAGACATTTGCCATTTTTTAATTTGCAAAGTTAAAATATATTTCACAGTGTCTTGTAATTTAAACCAAGCATTAAGACATTAACATATGGAATGAAGAAAATTAACATACAGTAGTAAGAGGTCAGATTACCCACCCACACCCATTCACTTATGATTACACACTTCTGCTGTACTAGTACAACATTACAGTGTTAAACACATTATGAATATTAAAAACAATGCACCAAAATTGTATGGATCAGTACTGCAAGTAGTGGTGTGCAAGATTAGGGGTAAACAGAAATTGAGGTTTAGTGTGGGTGCAAAAGTAAAACCAAAGTTATTCATTTAGTTAGTCTTACTCAAAAATTCTAAAGTCTGCTTTAAAGGTGGGACTTTTAGCAAGATCATTGCATGCATTAGGGTGTTGCAGACATTTGAAGTGAATTTTGCATCTCATAAGGATGCAGCCTCTGCTGCAAAAGATAAAGTCTCTAGACACAAAAATAAACCTTAGTGATGAAAGCGAGTTTTATTATAATAAAAAAGTGCTAAACCTAAAAGGGTCATACAGTGCAGCAGGGAAGGGAAGGGTGCAGGGGTATTGGGTAGCAAGAGGGCAAGAGATTATTATTAGGTCAGGGGTGCAGTGGACAGTGCAGGGGTAAAGGGTAGCAAGAGGTTGAGGTAGAAAGGGCTGTGAGGAGTGCTAGAGCCATCATCCGAGTTTGTGCTGTATAGCCCTTGTGGCTTAGCGCTTCTTTTTGATGATAATAATAATAATAATAATAATGAGTTTGTGCAGTAAATCAGTTGCTGTCAAAAAGTCAGTGTTAAAGGAGGGTCCATCAGTAAGAATAGTGATGTTTTAGAAAGAGAGAGGCAGACAGTTTTAGAAAGAGGCAGAAGAATGTAGATGATCTCCATAATGTCTAAGAGATTAGTCTAAATGTAGGCAAACGGCTTGTCCATCAACTGTAAGAAAAGTTAAGCAGGTTGTGCAAACTGACAAGAACCTTTTAGGGACAAGATGACCAGGTTGATTTAGTCAACTTAGCACATGCATTACATCTTTGTAAGCTAGCAAATTCTTGGTTCAGTTCTAATGGTAACTGCCTTGAACATGGACCTTTAAACAAAACTAGCGCATTTATGATACAGGAAGTCCTCGCTTAATGTCAGTAGGTTTTTGGAAACGGCAACTTTAAGAGAAATGATGTATAACAAATTTTACAATAGGCTAACTGAGATAAACAATGAGTTAAGTTCCTACATGAAGGAAAAGCCAAGAGGGAGGGCAGTAGTACTGCAGATGCTATGACTATGGAGTATGTCATTCTGGTGAGCTATAAAGTTGTGTATTTACTCATTACTGATACTTTAATTATTTTTAGGAACATTTAATGTTTTTCAGATTTTTGCAAGAAAAATGCTACACATCATAAAAACCAAATACAAACAGCCATAATGGAGGAAGTCGATAATAGTAAAGTTGGGTAAGCAGTTGCAGCTTCATCAGCACTTGCACTCTTCTCCTGGTACATATTTGTATGTTATGTAGTTTTAAACATTTCATAAAACATTCAAACCAACCACAACTTACCATGGAGGTTTCACTTTCAGCACTAGAACCCTGTTTTTTCTTTAGATCTTTAAATAAACTTAACACTTTCATTTGTATGACCATTAGTGAACATGGACAGGTATGTCAATTCATGTCCTCCATCCAGATATTTAAAAATTCTTCCCATATATCCCTTTCCTCACCAGAAATTGACGTACTTCTTTTTCTCAAACGTTATGATGAAATGACATTAAGCAAAGAAGTCCTGTACTGCCAAACACGCTTACTGAAGGTCTGGAGGATAGAAGGTGTGGCTCCAGAGAACAGAGGGGAAGATTTTAAGCAATTTTAGAGGATGAATCACGAGGAACACCAAGAGGTATGGTGCATGTTGTGACCAATTTACACTAACTGCCACCAGGATCAACACTGTCTGATGTCATAATGGAAGTATAGTATATAATCCATTCAAATTAGAAGGCTAGTGAAGAGAAGCAGATGAGAGTGGAGGGACTTAGTGTAGGAACTAGTGTTAAAGACAGGCAAGAGAAAAACAGCAACTGCACTCTGCACCAGCCATTGTGACCCACCTCAGCATATAGAGTAAAAAAAAATTGCCCCAAAAAAGGACTGGCATAGGTAAGGATTAAATCAGTCTGCATGCTAGTTAAGGAAAAGGAAGATGAAAGGAAAAGTAGAGCATACCACTTTTCAACAACATGGGCAATTGCATAGTGAGGTCGAGTTCAAATAAATTAGAGAATGAATAATATTGTTAAGCACAAGTGCACTTTCAGGTGTCACCAATTCACAGGCAACCTTCCCCCTCCCCTCTAGTAATACTTCTGCCATTAGAGAATTTTCCAGGTGGCCACCCAGTGTCTTACAGGAGTGTTACCCAATATGCCAATGATAACTAGTTTCCATCAGGCGAGTGGAACCCGCCACAGCACTACCAATAGAATCTATGTTAAGACAAAGCCAATAATGATACCTTTTTCTGTCTAGCTGAATTTTCACAATTCAACACAGATGTTATTTAAAGGTGTTAAAACCAGAGATTGGAGGGAGAGAGTATGGAGGAGGTGAACGTATTCAGATATTTGGGAGTGGACGTGTCAGCGGATGGGTCTATGAAAGATGAGGTGAATCATAGAATTGATGAGGGAAAAAGAGTGAGTGGTGCACTTAGGAGTCTGTGGAGACAAAGAACTTTGTCCTTGGAGGCAAAGAGGGGAATGTACGAGAGTATAGTTTTACCAACGCTCTTATATGGGTGTGAAGCGTGGGTGATGAATGTTGCAGCGAGGAGAAGGCTGGAGGCAGTGGAGATGTCATGTCTGAGGGCAATGTGTGGTGTGAATATAATGCAGAGAATTCGTAGTTTGGAAGTTAGGAGGAGGTGTGGGATTACCAAAACTGTTGTCCAGAGGGCTGAGGAAGGGTTGTTGAGGTGGTTCGGACATGTAGAGAGAATGGAGCGAAACAGAATGACTTCAAGAGTGTATCAGTCTGTAGTGGAAGGAAGGCGGGGTAGGGGTCGGCCTAGGAAAGGTTGGAGGGAGGGGGTAAAGGAGGTTTTGTGTGCGAGGGGCTTGGACTTCCAGCAGGCATGCATGAGCACGTTTGATAGGAGTGAATGGAGACAAATGGTTTTTAATACTTGACGTGCTGTTGGAGTGTGAGCAAAGTAACATTTATGAAGGGATTCAGGGAAACCGGCAGGCCGGACTTGAGTCCTGGAGATGGGAAGTACAGTGCCTGCACTCTGAAGGAGGGGTGTTAATGTTGCAGTTTAAAAACTGTAGTGTAAAGCACCCTTCTGGCAAGACAGTGATGGAGTGAATGATGGTGAAAGTTTTTCTTTTTCGGGCCACCCTGCCTTGGTGGGAATCGGCCAGTGTGATAAAAAAAAAAATAAAACCAGAGACAGTAGAAGACTAGGTAAGGAGACCAAAAGAAGATTGAGGGAGGAATTAGATTATATCTGAGGGGAGAAGAGGTCCAATTACTTTTATCAAGAGCCCTTTCACTACAGCTAAAGGACCCTAAAAGGGAAAAAGGGGATGGAAGAAAAAACCATATTACTGTATCTTGTGTACTCTTTAGATTATGGATTAGTAGGTTTAGTGCTTAGTTTTCAATGTAATATATATTGTATGTATGTTGGTAGAATTACCAACAATATGTAAAGTAAAAGGACACAAGTGCAACTAATGTGATTTTACTGTAGCATCGTTTTGCTCTCCAGGAGCTTTGTCAAGCCATTACAAACAATACATGGACACAGAGGGTATATATAGGCTTAGAGTAAGGTGCAATACTAGTGGTAGTAGTAGTAGTGATACAATTGTTCTACCATATTGTATCACTACTACAACTTTTATCACTACTACTACCACTAGTATTGCACCTCACTAAGCCTATATATACCCTCTGTGTCCATGTATTTTTTGTAACAGCTTGACAAAGCTCCTGGAGAACGAAACGTTGCCGCAATAAAATGTCGCATTAGTTGCACTTGTGTCCTTTTACTTTATGTAATATATACTACTTTAGATTATGACAAGTAGAAACTTATCAGAAGTCATCAGATTTATAAAAATGCATCATTTTTTAAAACTACTAATCCCTGAAGGGAAATATCTATGCTGATGATGACCTTATTACCAAAGGAATTGAAGCATACCCTTTCCCATACAAGCCATCTTGTCAAATTTTGTCTTCATAATTTCTAGTCTCAAAGCACTAAGACACTTGTGCAGCATTACCCAGCAAATGCAGTAGTCATAATGATAAAGGCATGCATGGTTAATGTTTGCATATCACAGATTTCAAATCCTGAGGATGGAGTTTGCCAAAGTATCAATGGGTATCTAATTTTAAAGGTACCAGCAAAAAACCTATTGTTCTACCCTATTAAGTCACTTTTGTGACTGTACTCGGTCCAGTTTCTTTTAAATTTCTTTAATATTCAAGATATGATTAAAGGGTTCACAAACTAAGTCATTAGTGCTACTATGCAAAATATGATGCATACACTCGGAAGAGATCAGACGAGCATTATCAGTTATGACAATATACACTTAAATGTATCAGCAACCCTTTACAGTACTGTGTCCCATACAAGGTTAGGACATTAAATGTACATTTTGCTACTGTACTTTCTTATACAAATCTAAAATTCCCAGTAAATTTTAATATCAAACAAATATTGAATGTCTTGCTATACTATTCACTAAATTTTTTTGTTCTACTTACTGCAACGAGTCTCACCTTAACAATGATTGGGATGGCAAGCTGCAAGTTTCTGGCTACACCGAAAGTGTCCATGAAATCAGTGACAAACACTTTAACAAGAGGACCATAGTTGATCAAGTAGTATTCTAGTCCCTTTCTGAAAAAAAAAAATTAAATCAAGACTAAAATGTCTTGACTGGATATGAAACAAAATTCACAAACCATTTTTCTGGACATTACAAGTTTACCTGGAGATGCTCTGAATATCTTTACTGATGTTTATAACTTCCCTCAGAAGAGACGGATGTGTGTGCACATTATCTGGAAGATCTACAGTCTTGGAAGTGACCAGAGAAGTCAGAGCCACTACTACTACATACATCAACTTCATCTTAGGGATTCTAAAATAAACAGACCATTAGTGTTAATGACAATTGCAAGTACCTCAGGATATGCCCCCCCTTCCTCAAGGTAACCAGTTCAGTTCTGAAACAAAACCAACCCCAGCAACCAAAAACTAATTTATGCAGATACAAAATATTTAACCTAATTTGACATCATTATGGCGTAAACACATACTATGTCCTATTTTATGCCTATAGAGACCCTTGTGGGTTTAGCACAGTTTAGATTGTAATAATATGCCTGTAGAGAAGATAACCTCCAAAATAAGAAATTCCAGTGTTTCAATACTATGTCAGTGCCGTGCATGTCAGATGGTCACCCAAGTTATAATGGTAATGAACTATTTACATATTTGTATCTGTAGGAAGTTTTTGGAATCTGAAAGGTAGAAAAGGCCAGAGAAATAACTGTAGAGTATAAATTTGTGTCGAGAAACTGAAGATCACAAATGCAAAAGTCACAGAAAAAGAAATAACACTTCTTGATGGAGCATAGTGAGGAAAGCTAAATAGTCGATATTCATGTAGCCAAAGAACAAGATATAATTTGTATCACAAAGCCGGGGAATCGGCACACCCCAATAACAGGAAGTAAAAGAGTTTTAAAATATTCCTTATAAAGATTAGTAAGAACAGGAGAGCTCATAGCAACATGAAGGTTTGAGAATAAAATGTGTATTTAAAGGAAAACAAAAGTTGTACTCTACACAAGGCAAATAAGATCAAGAAAGACATCAGTGGGTATAGGAAGATAAATTAAATCTTAATTGACCTTCATGATGGCAAACAATTAAAAAAAAATGACGCCATTCATGGCTACACCGTTTAGATTGTCGTTGGGTGTATAATTAGTGTCCCAAATTATTGTAGACAGCAACACACCCAGATTCTTTCTACTAGATATGAGACCCCCCTCTTGCACAATCACAAGATGTCCATAAAATTCAATATGCCTTAGCTTGAACTTTAATATACAAGATCTTCCCTCTTGATAGAGCAATATAATGCAGTCTGGAAAGTGATCAGTAATCAAGTTTTATTCGAGGATTATACAGTGCATGTCGGGGGGGGGGGGGATGGAAGGTATTCAGGGTTAATTCAGGAAACTGGAGCACAGATCCCATTCCCTAGATCAAGAGCCCCTCACCAGCATCAAGGAACCTTCCTTGAGGGTAGTATTCAAGGAAGGGAGGATAGTGCCAGTTCCTTGATCAAGAGATCTTCGCCAACATTCAAGTCGGACCTCTGAAGAAAAACTAATTGTAAAGAAAAAATTCTTAATTTTTAACAATTATAAATAACCACTAACCTGTCTTAATCAACAAGCACTTCTGTCAGACCCTTAAATCATTACCTTCACAAAGATGGAGTGTCTGGGTTAAACAATGGTCATCCAGAAGTTCATTGCCCCTACTAGCAAGTAATAAAAGTTTAAGTCAAGAGCAATGATAGAGGTTGTGATGACCTAACAACATTGCTGTCAACCTGACCTAACTAGTGAATCACTTGAAGCTTCATGTGCTCGAAACTAACTTCAAACTTAAGAATAATAATAACTTTATTTCAGCATAATACAATGTTTGTACAACAATGATGACATTTAATGTGCATACAGAAAACCCATAGTTAAATTGAAAGCCTATAAAATGTACTAGGATCATTAGAGTTGCATCTTACCTGTACATTACCCGTCAAGTTCTTTATCCCTGAAATAATAATTACATAAACTCTGTATATGCACTAAGAGATACTAATCATTCTTTATGTATATACTAAGATAGACATCGTAGTGTACGTACATGCACATTTCTTATTTCTACTTAAATTAAGATCAAGATACTATGTTTATAGTAAGCTTTATTATGACGTTTGTTGTAGTAGACTTTATCAAATATACAAAAAACACACCAAAACACGCCATTTCTTTCTTTCAACACACCGGCCATATCCCACCGAGGCAGGGTGGCCCAAAAAGAAAAACGAAAGTTTCTCTTTTAAATTTAGTAATTTACATGGGAGAAGGGGTTACTAGCCCCTTGCTGCCGGCATCTTAGTCGCCTCTTACAACACGCATGGCTTATGGAGGAAGAATTCTGTTTCACTTCCCCATGGAGATAAGAGGAAATAAACAAGAACTAAACCATACCCCCGGCCGGGATTGAACCCGCGGTCATAGAAAGAAAATAGAAGAATACCCAGAGGGGTGTGTATATATATGCTTGTACATGTATGTGTAGTGTGACCTAAGTGCAAGTAGAAGTAACAAGACATACCTGTAATCTTGCATGTTTATGAGACAGACAAAAGACACTAGCAATCCTACTATCATATAAAACAATTACAGGTTTTTATTTTACACTCACTTGGCAGGACGGTAGTACCTCCCTGGGTAGTTGCTGTTTACCAACCTACTACCTAGGCAATACACGCCATATTTCATCTAAATTATGGTACTTCGACAGATACGAGGTTTGTAACTAAGGCAATGAAACTGAAGCATGTCTGTCTATATAATATACACCGCAAGCTCTGTTTCAGAAGTGCTTTGAAGTGACCTCTGATACTGAGCTAACTCTTAGAGACATATGGAACAATAACTTCAGCACATTCCAGTGTGCCAGGTTGATAATTAATGCCTGGGAAATCCTGTTTCGGACATCAAACTTTTCACAGTTCGAACACCACCTATGAACTAATTAAGTTCAAATACCAAGGTTCCAAAATAAATAAATATATAATATATATATATATATATATATATATATATATATATATATATATATATATATATATATATATATAATATATATATATATATATATATATATATATGCAATAAGATCACAGTAAACAGGTGATTTCAAAATATGCAAAACAACTACTCTGAAAGAATAGAGAAATTCCAAGCGCTTTATCAAGGAACTATGAAAGTAAAGCATCCAAGGAAGCTATATAAGGGGTCTGGCCAGCACCTATCCAAGTTGGGTCGGCGCGCGTCACGTGTTTTAACCGTTGTGAGATCTGATAGTGATGTGCTGGCCAGACCCCTTATATAGCTTCCTTGGATGCTTTACTTTCATAGTTCCTTGATAATGTGAGTAGCCACGAAAGCGCTTGGAATTTCTCTATTCTTTCAGAGTGGTTGTTTTGCATAAATATATATATATATATATAATATATATATATATATAATATATATATATATATATATATATATATATATATATATATATATATATATATATATATAATATATATATATATATTATATATAATATGCACATTGGCGCCCAGCTAACGTTAGACGTTTGGTCCAAGTAGTGAACATTCAGGAAGGTGGCTTTCAGCTTTTTATCTCATCCCAAGCATGTATGCATCAACCAACGAAGGAGACTCGAACCTATGAACCTCCTTCCTGAATGCTGGCTGCTTTGGACCAGATGTCTAGCTTTAGCTAAAAAATCATCTTATCTCACAATATTAACCAAATCAGCCAAACATCTGCTAACTAGTTTTATGTGACCTCTGGGTTTATAATTCTCAATATTAACCAAATCTACCATAACATCTGCTAATTAGCCTTATCATGTGACCTCCTGGCTTTTAATTCTGCCATTCCATAAAATATTACCACCTGCACCATTACTTGTAAGTTAGATTTTGTACTAAGTTTAAATAAGATTGTATTAAGTTCAAGTAAAATTGTAAAACTGCTAACCACTATTCCTTGTTTAGTTTTAAGTATAATTACTGTGTACTATTATCTTATCTAGTTTTAATTAGTTACTATATATTTATTTAAAAATTTGAGCACACATACAGAGGTACAACAAATACAGGTAAGAGCAGTATGCCAAAGGAGGAGTAGATGTAAAACAGAAAGAGACAGGAGCTCCCTTTACAGGCGACGGAAAAGAATAACAGAGCGGCTAAAAGAGGTCAATATATCTGAAATGCGTAGGGAGACACTGGTCAGAGAAATAGCAAGCATCGAACTTAAGCTAAAAGAATCCTTTAGGAGTCAGGAATCGCGGGAAGAACTAAAAGCCATAAATGAAATCGAAAGAAACCCAAAGTATTTCTTCTCCTATGCCAAATCAAAATCGAGAACAACGTCCAGTATTGGGCCCCTACTTAAACAAGATGGGTCCTACACAGATGACAGCAAGGAAATGAGTGAGCTACTCAAGTCCCAATATGACTCAGTTTTTAGCAAGCCAACTACCAGACTGAGAGTCGAAGATCAAAATGAATTTTTTATGAGAGAGCCACAAAATTTGATTAACACAAGCCTATCCGATGTTATCCTGACGCCAAATGACTTCGAACAGGCGATAAATGACATGCCCATGCACTCTGCCCCAGGGCCAGACTCATGGAACTCTGTGTTCATCAAGAACTGCAAGAAGCCCCTATCACGAGCCTTTTCCATCCTATGGAGAGGGAGCATGGACACGGGGGTCGTCCCACAGTTACTAAAAACAACAGACATAGCCCCACTCCACAAAGGGGGCAGTAAAGCAACAGCAAAGAACTACAGACCAATAGCACTAACATCCCATATTATAAAAATCTTTGAAAGGGTCCTAAGAAGCAAGATCACCACGCATCTAGAAACCCATCAGTTACACAACCCAGGGCAACATGGGTTTAGAACAGGTCGCTCCTGTCTGTCTCAACTATTGGACCACTACGACAAGGTCCTAAATGCACTAGAAGACAAAAAGAATGCAGATGTAATATATACAGACTTTGCAAAAGCCTTCGACAAGTGTGACCATGGCGTAATAGCGCACAAAATGCGTGCTAAAGGAATAACAGGAAAAGTCGGTCGATGATCTATAATTTCCTCACTAACAGAACACAGAGAGTAGTCGTCAACAGAGTAAGTCCGAGGCAGCTACGGTGAAAAGCTCTGTTCCACAAGGCACAGTACTCGCTCCCATCTTGTTCCTCATCCTTATATCCGACATAGACAAGGATGTCAGCCACAGCACCGTGTCTTCCTTTGCAGATGACACCCGAATCTGCATGACAGTGTTCTTCCATTGCAGACACTGCAAAGCTCCAGGCAGACATCAACCAAATCTTTCAGTGGGCTGCAGAAAACAATATGAAGTTCAACGATGAGAAATTTCAATTACTCAGATATGGTAAACATGAGGAAATTAAATCTTCATCAGAGTACAAAACAAATTCTGGCCACAAAATAGAGCGAAACACCAACGTCAAAGACCTGGGAGTGATCATGTCGGAGGATCTCACCTTCAAGGACCATAACATTGTATCAATCGCATCTGCTAGAAAAATGACAGGATGGATAATGAGAACCTTCAAAACTAGGGAGGCCAAGCCCATGATGACACTCTTCAGGTCACTTGTTCTATCTAGGCTGGAATATTGCTGCACACTAACAGCACCTTTCAAGGCAGGTGAAATTGCCCGACCTAGAAAATGTACAGAGAACTTTCACGGCGCGCATAACGGAGATAAAACACCTCAATTATTGGGAGCGCTTGAGGTTCCTAAACCTGTATTCCCTGGAACGCAGGAGGGAGAGATACATGATTATATACACCTGGAAAATCCTAGAGGGACTATACCGAACTTGCACACGAAAATCACTCATTACGAAAGCAAAAGACTTGGCAGACGATGCACCATCCCCCCAATGAAAAGCAGGGGTGTCACTAGCACGTTAAGAGACCATACAATAAGTGTCAGGGGCCCGAGACTGTTCAACTGCCTCCCAGCACACATAAGGGGGATTACCAACAGACCCCTGGCAGTCTTCAAGCTGGCACTGGACAAGCACCTAAAGTCAGTTCCGGATCAGCCGGGCTGTGGCTCGTATGTTGGTTTGCGTGCAGACCAGCAGCAACAGCCTGGTTGATCAGGCTCTGATCCACCAGGAGGCCTGGTCTCAGACCGGGCCGCGGGGGCGTTGACCCCCGGAACTCTCTCCAGGTAAACTCCAGGTAAACTATGCATAGCATTACGGGCTGGCTTAAAATTAACTTAAGATTAACTAAGCAATGATGAAATCAGTGATAAAACATTAATGTAAACAGGTTACTATAAAGCACAAGTGAGTATTACAAAGACAGGTCATATGGTTGTATGCATTGTTGTACATTCAGTAGAATGGAGTATTCTGTTAGGTAGTGTATTTAAAAAATAATAAAGTTAGATTGGGTTTTAGGTTTAACATTTATGTGATATAATTGTGAGAAACATTTAAGATATACAATTTAAAAGGTTCAGTTATTCAGTATTTATTTGGTTTTGGGTGAGTAAGTGATCTTTGAGAGAGACTTGAATTTATAAACAGGTAGTGTTTTTTTTATATTTACAGGTAATGAATTCCAGATTTTAGGGCCTTTTATGTGCATTGAGTTTTTACATAGTGTGAGATGGACACGAGAACATCAAAGAGTGATCTGTGCCTTGTGTTTTTGTCATGTGTTTTTGTTGAGGGTTTGGGAAGGAGATGTTTGAGGGGGGGGTTAATATCAGAGTTAAGTTTTTCTATGTATGTAAAAAGGTGCAGTAGTAATATGGATGTTTTGTATGGTGAGGAGGTTTAGTGTATTGAATATTGGTGGAGTGTGCTGCCTATAGTGAGAATTTGTTATCATTCTAACTGCAGCCTTTTGTTGGGTAATTAGTGGGCTGAGATGGTTACTTGTTGTTGAGCCCCATGCACAAATTCCATAGGTGAATAGGGTAATAAGAGAGTGATATAGGGCCAGGGGGGCTGACTGTGGAGCATAGTACCGTACTTCGATAGTATGCCTACAGTCTTGGAAATTTTTTTTAGAAAATTTGTTGTAAAATGTGTATGAAATTTAGTCTATTATCAAGGTGGATTCCCAAGAATTTTCCCTCTGTTAGCTTTGTGATAGGTTTATTTCCCTTATCATTATGTTAAGAGGGACATCTGTAGCTCTGTTACCAAACTGAATGAAGTAGGTTTTGTCAATGTTTAGTGTAAGTTTTAGTTCTCATCCAGGGAAAATATTTTCTGTAAATTCGTTAATTTACAGTAATTGGTTTAGCGTGACTGGGCTCGGGTGGGAGAAGACGTATGTAGTGTCATCTGCAAATAGTGTGGGTTTGAGTAATTGCGAAGCATTTGGTAGGTCATTTATGTATAGGAGAAAGAGAAGAGGGCCAAGGACACTTCCCTGTGGGACACCAACTGTAATTGGTTGTGCAGAGGAGTTTGCCCCATTTGCATACACATATTGGCTTCTGTTGCTGAGGTATGACTTGAGGTAGTTGAGGGAGGCCCTCTTATACCATAGTGTGACAATTTTACGTGGAGAAAGGGTCATGGCCCAACTGTATCAAAAGCTTTACGTAAGTCAATGAAGATCCCCAGTGGGACTTCTTTTTTCTCTATTGCAGTGTATATATGTTCTATACACAAATAACCCGCACATAAAAGACAGAAGCTTACGACGACGTTTCGGTCCGACTTGGACCATTGACAAGTCAATGGTCATGTCCAAGTCGGACCGAAACGTCGTCGTAAGCTTCTGTCTTTTATGGCGGGTTATTTGTGAAATCGTTCCAGTCACGGTATTGTCCCTTTTTTGTTATTTATATATGTTCTAGCATGTGTATAATAGCATCATTAGTATTTTTATTAGGCCTGAACCAAATTGGCAGGGTTTGAGTATGTTTTGGGAGATAAGGTAGGAGTAGATTCGTTTATGAATTAATTTTTCGAAGATTTTTGAGAGGGGGTGTAAGTTGGATATTGGCCAAATACTAGTTTTTCAACCCCTGTTTGGTCTCCCCTTTGTGGATGGGGGTGACCCTTGCTATTTTGAGTACTGTGGGGAAGGTGAGGATTAATGGATTTGTTAAAGAGTGTTGCAATGATTGGTGATAGCACTTGTGACACTTTTTTGTATATAAAGGGTGGTAAGGTATTAAATCTCCTGCCTTTTTTTTAGTGTGTTGAAATAAGGAGACTTCGTATGGGTTAGTCGGAGCTAGGGAAAAGTGTGTTCGGGTAGTTGCCGTGAAGTAGTCATTTGGTGGGGGATCTGAGCTTGGGATTTTTTTGGCAAGGTTTTGTCCTATAGTGGAGAAGAAATCATTGAGTCTGTTTGCTGTTTCTGTTGTGGGAGTTGGGGTTTATCGATTTGCTAATTTTATTTCGCTATTTCGGATATCTTTTTTGTTCCTAGAATTTCTGATAGGGTTTTCCAGGTCTTTTTATATCACCCGTAAGTTGGATAATCTGTTCTCATAATACAATTTTTTTGCCCTTCTTTCAGGCTGGTTAGGATTGACGAGTAACTTTTGTTTGGTCCCCTGGTTATGTGACCCATTCTGTACTGTTTTTCATATTGGTGTTTTGTATTTATGGATTTGAGAATGCTGGGTGTTAGCCAGGGACTGTTCAGTCTCTTAGCTGTCATCTGTTTAGTTTTTTTAGGGCAGTGCTTGTTATAGAGGTATTGAGTCTTTTTAAGAAAATTATTAATACATTCGTCAATATCTGTATAGATTTCTAGCTCAGTGTGCCAGTCAATGTTTGCTACTGCTGTTGTGAAGTTATTAATGGCTGCCTCATTGTGAAGTCTGAAGGTGACTTTAGTAGTGTCTTGGGGTAATTTACCAAGAGTTGTTATGAGGAAAGTCGGGTAGTGGTCTGTGGTATTATCTGTAATTATGCCTGATTTTAAAGGGGATATGGTGTTGGTCCAGATGTGGTCAAGTAGGGAAACACTAGTCTCTGTAACTCTTGTAGGTTTTGTTACTGTTGGTAGCAACATACAGTTACTCATTGTGTTTGTGAATTCAGTAACGTGTGGGTCCTGGTCTTGCAGGAGATTTATATTGAAGTCACCTGAGAGTAGTAAGTGATCTTTGTTCATGCGTGCATCAGTTATCATACTTCCTAGGTTTTGACTAAATTGGCTAATGTTTGACTGTGGAACTCTGTAGATGTTTATCAATGTGAGAGGTTTTTGTAGGTATTTGGATTTGAATTTGGCTATTATATATTCCCCATGTTCATCCCTTGTGCAAGTATTAGTGATACATTCTAGTTGGTCTGAGTAGTATATGGCTGTGCCACCCCCTTGTTGGTCTGGCCTACAGTTGTGTATGGCTGTGTAACCAGGAATGGCATAGACATCTGTACTATCAGGCTTTAGCCAGGTTTCAGTTAGTGTAATGATGGATTAGTTTGCCCGAAATGCCTGGGCATGATAGTGGCTAGCTTTGTACTTAGCAAATCAAAATTGTAATTACACATTGTAACCTTTACAAAGAAATAAACTTTATTATTATTATTATTAATGTGATAGAGTGAGCAGACCACTGCGTACCCTGTTCCAAGGTTCGTAGGTTCGACTCGCCTTCGGCCTGAAATTAGTGTTTGTGAATATTTCTCCTGTTCTGTGAATTCTAATGGCATCACTCTCGCCTTACACACGGTGTTCGTGATTCGATCCCCGACAAGGGTGGAAACATTGGTTGTGTTTCCTTACACCTACTGTCCCGTTCACCTAGCAAGTAAATAGGTACCTGGGTGTTAGTCGACTGGTGTGGGTCGCATTCCGGGGGATAAGAGTAAAGGACTCCCAATAGAAATAAAACAGACAAATAAGAGTTTGTTCGGATTTTTAACCCCGGAGGGTTAGCCATCCAAGATAACCCAGGTGAGGCAATGCTTCATCGAGGGACTGTCTTATTTCCAGTGGGGTCCTCAATCTTGTCCCTCAGGATGCGACCCACACCAGGCGTCTAATACCCAGGTACCTACTTGCTTGCTAGGTGAACGGGACAGCAGGTGTAAGGAAGTATGCCCAATGTTTTTACCCCTGCCGGGGATCGAACCGCTGACAGGTAAGTATGTGAAGCCAGAACGTTGCCAGCCAGGCCACGGGCCACCTCTAACAGTTCCTCGATGATGTACTGACTTTTTTGGGGGTTATCCTGGGTGGCTAACCCTCAGGGGTTATAAATCCGAACAAAATCTTATCTAGGTTTTATCTGTATTAAGAGCCCCCCTTGCCTAGACTGCAACAGGGAGGGACGTTCGCACCCTCACCTGAGTTTAGTTACCGGCTTCCCATGAAAACTGTTAAAGAAATACCCGCAGTGCTGAAAAATGGATACTGCATTGTATTATCAACTATAGGAAGTAATTGTAAAATATGCCGCTTAGGCAACACAACTAAACTAGATGAATGGTGCCCTCATAAAGCTCCAAGCGGGTACAATAAGATAAGAACAAGCCTCTCAGAGAGAACGGAGAAAATGTCACCGATCCCTTTCGACAGCAAGAAGCCCACACAGCAACCAAGGCTGGAATGGAAGTCCTCAAAGCTGGGCAATGAATGGGAAAGGAAAAGAATTTTCCCTTGAAAAAGAAAAACAGGAACAAAAAATTCAGTTAGGAAAGATGGGCCCCCATTGCCTAGCCCTAGACCCTTAGTGGGACATCAACACCCTCACCTGAGTTCAGTTACCGGCTTCTTACTGGTTCCGTCGAGTGGAAAAAAATGGAGTCGATAAAAGGTGTTTCCCCTCTAAGTGTCCGGCGGACAAAATAAGATAAAGACAAGCTTTCCAGAGAGAGCGAGGTTTTTTTTCACATATTCTGGTGAGAGTTAGACGTCCACACTCGACAAAGATTTGCGCAGAAGTCGGAAGCGCCTTATTTTCGCTGTGGATTTCTACCGCCTGAGAGAACCCAGTTGCTGAACCAGTAGTGAAGACCCCTGCCTCTGCCAGGAATCCATCTCATTTAATCTGAAAGTACTCTTATTTCTAGCTACGAACGGAATCTTGTTGCCTGACCCATTGTCACCAAGATTGGGACAATATTTCTTTTCCCGATTACGGACCGCAGGAGTCTCAACGGTGACAGCTGTGGTGCCCTATAAACCAGAAGACAGCAAGAATAACAACAGTGTATGCCAGGACACTGACTTGGGAGGTTATATGTTGCTGCTCCGGGAATACTGGCTCCGTTTCCTCACGTTTTTCCCCTATCTTTGTGAACATATGTGGAAAAGCGTCTTTTAGTTATAAAAGCAGTTTGTGGTTGGGTTAAGGAGGTAGAAATTTACTGTTAATTAACAAGAAGAAAACAGTTGTTGGTGAGGATAGCTGACTAAGGAATGGTAAGTTGCCCTTATTTCATTCTCCTAACATATTTTACTAAGATACCTCTAAATAAACTGAAGTTGTGATGAATGAAGATTTGTGTATGAAATTAAGAACCCCAGTGGAAATCAAGGGACCCAAGTGGAAATATGTCACTGACTTAAGGGCTATCTTGGGTAATTTACATTATGTATGATAATTGTACTTGTATGTACCTGTGCTTAAATAAATTTAATTAATGGGCCATCCCCTGAGCTAGGTGTCCTGTAGCTTGGTGTTTAACACTCGTCTCGCACACTGAGTGTCCGGGGTTGGATCCCTGACTGGGTGGTAGTGTTCGGTGTTTTCTTACACCTGCTGTCCTTGTTCACCTGGTAGTAGGTAGGTACCTGGGTGTTAACTGGTGTGGATGGCATCCTGGGAGACAAGACTGAAGGATCACAATGGGAATAAGACAGTCCTGGGTGGCTAACACCCTACCAGCTTATCCTGGGTGGCTAACACCCCACCAGCTTATCCTGGGTGGCTAACACCCCACCAGCTTATCCTGGGTGGCTAACACCCCACCAGCTTATCCTGGGTGGCTAACACCCCACCAGCTTATCCTGGGTGGCTAACACCCCACCAGCTTATCCTGGGTGGCTAACACCCCACCAGCTTATCCTGGGTGGCTAACACCCCACCAGCTTATCCTGGGTGGCTAACACCCCACCAGCTTATCCTGGGTGGCTAACACCCCACCAGCTATCCTGGGTGGCTAACACCCCACCAGCTTATCCTGGGTGGCTAACACCCCACCAGCTTATCCTGGGTGGCTAACACCCCACCAGCTTATCCTGGGTGGCTAACACCCCACCAGCTTATCCTGGGTGGCTAACACCCCACCAGCTTATCCTGGGTGGCTAACACCCCACCAGCTTATCCTGGGTGGCTAACACCCCACCAGCTTATCCTGGTGGGCTAACACCCCACCAGCTTATCCTGGGTGGCTAACACCCCACCAGCTTATCCTGGGTGGCTAACACCCCACCAGCTTATCCTGGGTGGCTAACACCCCACCAGCTTATCCTGGGTGGCTAACACCCCACCAGCTTATCCTGGGTGGCTAACACCCCACCAGCTTATCCTGGGTGCTAACACCCCACCACTTATCCTGGTGGGCTAACACCCCACCAGCTTATCCTGGGTGGCTAACACCCCACCAGCTTATCCTGGGTGGCTAACACCCCACCAGCTTATCCTGGGTGGCTAACACCCCACCAGCTTATCCTGGGTGGCTAATACCCCATAGTTCATCAGGGCCTTGGGATTTGTTAGGTTTTAATTTATCTATTTGTCTGAGAACCATGTCACTTGTGACTGATCGTGCATAACTTATTTTCGTCCTGTTCTACTTAATTTATTATTTCTAGAATTTCGCTGGCATCTTCCTGCATAAAAACTGAGAGGAAATAAGTGTTAAAAATTCCACACATTTTTTGTCACTGTCAGTGAGCTGATCCTAGTAGCTTGCGAGTGGGCCTGTTTTGTCCCTAATCTTTTATATACCTGAAAGAAACCTTTTAGGTTAATCATCTAATCCCTTGTGGCTTTAACCTCATGATATTTTTTGCTTTTCTTATTCCTTTCTAATTTCTCTTTAATTAAATATATAGATTTCTTAACTGCTCATCTCCCCCTTTGATTAGTCTGTAAATTTTTTTTTATATTTTATTTAAAACTCAGGTACAAAAAATATATGGGTACATAATCAATATGTAACAAGATACAGGCAGTAAAACGATAATCTGCAGTGACTACACAAATACCAAAGAAGCACTTATATAATGACATCAGAATTGGCTGCTGCACTCCAATCAAACACTACTTTTATGTACTGTGCTTCACGTGAAAAGATGGTCTTATAATAAAAACGATAGTCCTACCTAGTAATGCTTACACTCCCCCCCCCCCCTTGAAAAACATACCACTTTCACCTGAGTATACTCATTGACATCTCTTATACATTATATAGAGCATTAAGGACAATCATTGACAACATGTATAAACACAAATCCAGCCATCTAAAAGGCTGACTAATAATACAAGAAAAGTCTGAACATGATGCACACATCCACCAAAGAAACCAATCCACACCCTAACCCTCATATACCCCATGATAACAATCAATATCGTGCACGGTGGTGGATTTAATACACTACCGCTGACTCTTCACCCCCCCCCCACATGCTAGTAACTGTGTCTGCTGTCACCACTCATAACCTCCATCAGTCATTGAATTTAAAAATACATTAAAGTTCAATAACATAAAGGAATATTGAAACCCCTTATCGTCTCCACCACAGAAAATAAAATTGTTACATTTCTAAATACATACTGCTGATTCATCTTTGTGCTTACAAAAATATCCCCCATCCCCTATGCTTTTTATCTCTTTACTCCAAAGCTAAAAACCAGATTATACATTTCATCAATCAAATTATATTACAATAAGCATAATAATATCAATACTTATACATCCGACTAATAGGTGTACATTATTATCACCTGAGTTTCCATGAAATTTACATAAGAATTAATACATATACTGACAATCCTCACAATCCTTCCCGTCTTCTAAATACAGTGTACATATATCCAATGACATTTCGTTATGATCCAATCATATTTACTTTACACTTCCCCTTTTCCCCAGTGCAAGATAAATGTCACTTGCACTAGATGTCACAACACCTTACATTTGTTCACTTAAAACGTATAAAATAAGAACTAACATAAATAACTTATAACAATATATAGATAGTAATTATTTGACAAAGTGAAGAATACCAACTAATATGGTAACAGTACACTAGAAATTGTAACTCACTCACTAATACATATTCCCATTTTTTATGTATTATGTTCAACAAGATATATATATTTATTAACAATGTTCCAGAGCAATATCAGACTTACTCTGTCACGCACTAAGTTACACAATATAACTTATGGCTCCTAATAAAACATGTACCGGGCAGTACTACCTCAATCATTAACAAAACCAACCTGGCAAAAGACACTTCAGAAAGCCAACCCCTGCCATCCCCTGACCCCATGCTATCTGTATTAAAAAATCACAAACTCACGTTCCCTTCCATGCTCAAGTTCGTACCTGACGTTGAAAGTCATAAAACCCCTGTCTCTTAACCAAATGTCACCAGTTCACCCCTCCCCCCTATGCCCCCCCTCATTCCTAACGACTTTACACCCATATGCTCCACTGCCACACTTTTATTCCACCTTCCATCCTCCACTAATCTCAAAAAAGAACAAGAATGCCAGTTTAGGGAGAACCAGCCCAATCCAGCTCTAAACTACACCCACCCTAACATTACACCTAACCGACAGATTACGATAACTCAAGGGAAAACTATTTACCCACAACCTCCCATATAGTAGCCTATTTCTGCATACTGTACGATACACACTCGCCGCAAGCGCCCGCACCCTATATTCACCCCCCACCTCCCGCATGCACCAAGACCACATACAAAAAATCTGCCACTACATACATCACTGCCCTCCGAATGTCCTTGGAAACCCCTCCCACATCAAAATGCAAAGCCTCAAAGTCGAAATGTTTCTCCCCCCTTCCGCCACTATACCCAGAACTCTCGCTAACCATGCCCTTCACAAAACCCAAGTTTTCACAAAAATATATGGCATGAAAAGCCATCTCCTCTTCCTCACAATGCAACAAGTGCCAGCACCTACATAACCCATTCTATATAGCACTGACCTTGTAGCTAGAATTCCATAAAGAATCTATAAACCACTTCACGACCCTTGGCTTTAATCTGATCTTCCGAAAGTCTTCCCAAATGCCCCTCAATCATACATTGGGTATGTAGCTACTCCCTGTATCACTGTACCCTGCCAACCTGTCCTCCCAAGCCTACTTACCCTTACTTTTTTGCTTCCCTTACTGCCAACAAATTTCGCACCATATCTTCACACTCCAGTAGTGCCTTTCCCTTCCACCATTTTCGCACATCCTTCATGACCTCTCCCACCCTTCTACCCCTCTCCCCTCCCACCCTCAAGTATCGCTGCTTTACATACACTGCCTTCACTCGTGTGTCCAAAGGTATAAGACCCAGCCCACCCTGCCGCACGCCCATCATCACCACCTCCTTCCGTAGCATGGCTTCCCATTAACCCCACACATACCTCAAAACCACCCCTCCAGTTCCTGAATATCACACGACCTCAGGGGATATATTTCTGCCACGCCCCACACTTTACTGTACACAAGTGTATTTACTACCACCACCCTCTGCTGCAATGTTACATCCCAGCCCTCCACCCGCGCATCCTACCCATCGCTCTACTCACTACTTCCTTGGAATTATTCTCTGTGCCTCCCAGCGTCCGCCATATACACAACCCCACATATCTTAATTCTATCCACTACGTTCCACCCATACTGTTCCCCAAACCCCCCCCCACCCACTGCCTACTTCTAATAACTTTGACTTTGCTCCATTAACCCTCATCCCTGTCGCCCCACCAAAAATCTCTATTATACATCCCACATTCCCCAATCCTATTTCCCCTCCTACCAAAACTGTGGTGTCATCCACATACCCCACAATACCACATCTCCCAGGACCCACCTCTCCCTGTTCCCACACTCCTTCCTCTATAAGCCTATAAAAAGGGTCCTGCATGCATGCAAAGAGGATTTGAGACAAGGGGCAACCCTGTCGCAAACCCATCCCCATCTGCACCGGCAACCCTAACTTCCCATTAACCTGTACCCTGACCGTTGCAGGCGTATACAAAGTAGTCGCCCAGCACACAATCTCATCACCAAAACCCTGTTTTTTAAAATACACCACAACATATGTCTATCTACACTGTCATAAGCCTGCTTCCAATCAATCCCCAGTATCCCCCCCCGTTGTCTACCCTCCACAAAATCCTTAATTCTTCCATGCCCCTCACACATACTTCGACCTGGAATCCCACACTG